CAGCTATTTCTACACTAATTTTTATTACTGCAATTAAATTAAAACTCCTAGAAAGACAGAGGGATCATTGAATTATCTGATTTTTATTCAAGTTTCCGAAACACAACTGAAAACTAACGAATAGAGTTCAAAAACGCGAAAACGAGGTAATGTTTACAACCATGCCTGAAAATTTGACTGAGTGAGAAAAGTGTCTGAGCGGATGCGAAAATGGGGCATTGTTACGTCACTTTTTGTATCTTGCTGATTGGCCAATGTCACGAACTAAACAAGGAAGTCTATGCTCGGGGAAAGGTCCATTAGATCAGTGGCTCCCAAACTTCTTAATATCGTTTCCCTGAAATCGAACTATCAAACGCTCAATTAACCCTTTCATTAAGTCAAATACATAAGTTATATCATTTTTTTTACCAAAAATGGCGATAATACTAACACTTATTGCATCTCCCAATCAGACTTAATGATGTTTACAGGATTTACGCTTACAATCCGTACGACGAAGTACGACTAGATGCGAGCATTGAATGTCCGGCTGTTTCAAACTAGTCAAAGATGGGGGATTACAAACGAAATTGTTAAAACAGTGAACGTCTGGATTACCCTCTAAAAATTGCCAATTACCCCCAGTATAGAACTACTGTATTAAATGGACGTTTACCCAACCGTTGACTGCAGAAAATTCTGAGTGACTGGTCACCCACACACCGTTGTTGACTCATTGCTGATTGGTTATTTTTACGGAAATAAACAAGGAAAGTATGCTTGGGGAAACATACACAAGATAATCTATTCTAAACTCCTCAGTGGTACGTAAAATTGCCGCAAATAGTAGGCTACATAATTTCGGCAAATTTGTCAACACTTCTAAAGAGTGTTATATGGTCAATCTCATCTTGTTACATAGAGCATAGATTTTCAACGCGCTCCATACTAGGCCCAGGGGCTCCGCGAGCTATTCGTTTATTTATCAAAATACTGAATATTTTTAAATACATCCGAGTCATTAATTAGAGTAATTTCAATTAGCTCATGAAAATTAATCCGTAAGTAATGATGTGTTTTTGTTTTTATAAATTATTGTGATAGTCAACCTCATCACGGGCTCCATAACACCAAAAGTTTGAGAACCCTTGACATAGAAAGTAAGTGAAACCACCACGATGAAACATTTTCGTCTCAGACTCTGAGCTGAGAAACATTATGATCGTACATGAACATAAGAGAGCGATGCTAAAATTTATGAACACGGAAGGCAAAACAAAATATTTCATCATCAATTCCCAGAAAATCATAGGCGGTACGGTGACTTACCAATAACTGTAGACCTGATATTCGATTGCAAAACTGCTTAAAAAATAATACAGCGGAATTTTGCATGAAATATCAGATCTCATAAGATTCCTAGAAAATTTAATAATAGCCTTCTAGCAGAATATACCATCTTCAATCACTGACAATTTTGAAGCAATTGGTCTAGTAGTTAATGAGAAAAGTGATTTTTTTGGAACAACAAGGAGCAAATGACCAACATAAACAAGAACACGATAACAAAACGATTCATAGACCCATTTCGTGTCCAATAAACAGTGCTGGATAAATCATTAAACAACACAAGAGAGATATGCTCAAATATATGGACACGTAGCGCCACCCAATGGCAATAATTTTGATGACGTCATAGCGAGAAAAAAAATAGCCTTATGGAGAAAAATTTAACTTTAACCACTGAAAATTTCAAAGCAATTGGTCCAGTATTCGAGGAGAAGAGCGATTTTCTAAAAATGATGGAGACAAATAATAATAATAATAACATGATATTGAAACGATCGTTATGTCCACTAAAAGTGTCCAATAAGTCCAGGGCACCACAGACAATACTGTAGTTGACTTGCAATAGGATCCCATTTTTTTTTAGTAGAAAAGAAAAACGATTGGTCATAGCCAGTGGTGGGATTCAAATTTGTTGTCAGCCGGTTCCATCACATATTTCTTCAGCCGGTTCTGTTACAAAAAAGGCATGTTTTTTCAGTAATGCCAACCGGTTCGCTGATCTCATAAAATTCCGTGAAACGGTTCTATAGAACCGGTGTGAACCGGCTGAATCCCACCCCGATTGGTTCTCGATGTACTTTTCGTTTTATTTTCAGTGTGTATGATATTGTTTCCGGATTGGTCGTTTATTGGGTACTCCCGAAGTATATGAAACAAGATGGCGGACACCGGAACGTAGTATGTGTTTATTCAAAAATCCTTATTTCAGTTCTATTACGAGTTCGGAGAAAAGCCATGTTACTCTCGTAATATTTTTACCTGAAATTGTGGCCTAACCCTAACCTGGTACGCATACTACGTTCCGGTGTACGTCATCTTGGTTCACATACTTCGGGAGCACCGTTTATTTATGACAAATACCCAAGTTAACACAACGAAAACAGAGGACACAACAGATCGCACCCGACATCCAGCCCAGCGGTCGAAGAAGAGAGGAAGAGATATATTTTCTCTCGCACGTGTAATAGGTGGTCGGAGTCCAGATCCGGTCAAAACTGCCCTAATAAAATGTCTGACAAAATAACATACAGAGAAATACAAAAATATATCAATACAATACAAACACGGGCATTATGGTCCGTGAATCATGCCAAGTATGAGGCAGTGAGGAAACCCACAGACAGGGGAGCATAGACTGCTAAGCATGACGGTAATTACGTAAAATTCTGATCAACTCAATCCCCGTCCGTAGCGCAGAGACACGTGGCCAAACAACAGGCCAGGTTCGATTCGGTCGGCCTTAGTGGTAGAGATGGAACAGCAAGATAGACGAAGGTCCCGAGTGAGCGGGAAAGACGAGGGCAGCTAGACCGAGAAGCCAGGGGAAAAGAACATGCCAGAAAGGTGACATAGGGGAGAATCCAGCCTAAGGGTAAGTAGAGCAGAATGGATGTGATCCAGCACCATTCGTTGGTACGCGAGTTAGAGAACCACCGAGCAAGAGACCAAACAGAGAGCAGGTAGACCGAGAGCCCCAGAGAGGGAATATAGCCTGGGCCTGAAACCAACCAACCGAGAGAGCAGCAGCGACGAAAGAACATAAAGATGGATTGGAGAATTGAGAACATAGAGCCAGCTGTAAGTCTCCGTCGTCAGTCAGCGAAAATGAAGACGGAGAAAGCAGGCTGTAAAAAAGTAGGTGGAAAATACAAAAGAAATCAAACAAAATGAGAAGTGGGGTAGCGAATACTCCAAGTAGGTGGTCGGAAGAAAGTAGGAAATAAGCGAGCGAGACGAGGCCCGGAAGAAAAGTAAAAAAGAAAGAGAGACAAGAGAAAGAAACATCATACACAAAAATAATTTTGTACTTCGTCCAAAAAAAAATATCATTTTTCCAAAATATCATATATGACGAATTTTTTCCTACAATAATATCCTTCCACTTGATATGTTTTACTAGAACTCATATTCGGGATTGTTTACAAATCTTTCTTTCATATCACCAGTGGTGGCTCTTTATATTCATATTTTATGAAAATGATGGACTTCATCTCTGCATTGTATTTTGATGTAATTTACATTTCTTATTTGGTATTTATTTGTCTCATATCTTACTTTTGACATTCCTATGCAAACAAAAAATTGATCTTTATAAAATTCTAGAATGTTCTACATTTATATTTAGTCATCTGAATTTGGGAATCTTAAACATAATAGTGTGAGGGGGTAGTTGACTTTGGTGACAACCTGGTCGTATCACTCCCTCCTGTCTATACCAAATTATTTTATTGTTATTATTACGATGACTGCTATTTCATTTTGGTTGACGAAATAATGAATCTCTCTCTTTTCTCTCGCATCGTAACATTTTTCATATACTAATAAATACACTAATAAAATCTTAAGGGCCTTTAAAGGAATCATGATCCGGCTTGCCTTTGTCCAAAATATTACGAAACATCATACAAAAATAATCGTAATTTTTGTAACACTAAAAAACCTGATAGACCCTAGAGTCAAGATGGTCGATTGCCTTGTTCGAATAAAAATGCTGTGTTTCCCCCAAAAAACATCGTATCGTAACATTTTTCATATGATAAATACATTAATAAATTATTAAGAACCTCTGATGGCATCATGATCCGGCCCTGCCTTTGTCCAAAATATTGAAATACCATAGGGCTCGGCGGTGTGGCGCATCGTGCTCAGCGTTAAGGAATACGCTCGCCACCGCATCTCTGATTACACTTCGTGGGATTGCAGTTTCGAATCCCATGGGGGGGATGATCATGTGCGAGGATTGCTGGACTCCTCGCCGCCGTAGGGTGGTTCACGTAACCGCCGGTCGGTTACGGCTTCCACTACCATCAAGTCCATGCTTCCGACAACAAATAACTGGCTAACTAATCCCATACCCGACCTGAACTGGTAACCGGACTAGAGGCCGTGGTTCGCCATATGTTTAAGCCATCTTATCGGCTTTCCTCTCCCCCGAGATAAATATGTAAATCCTATCCCTCATCCTATCCTTTTTGCAATTAAATTGAAATCTGAGCTCACCAAAAGTGCGACTGTACATTTTTACTGCCTGTAGAACGGCGTCACTCGTAAGTTGCGCTTTTATACATTGTACGTTTTTCTCGTTATATTTAATTTATGTCTTTGTTCATTGTTTTTCTGACAAAACAATGAATCTTTTCCTTTCTGCCTCGCACACTTTAAAAATTAAGGGGAAAACATCGGGTCAAAGGTTGCTTAGTACTTAACACTGCCATCTAGCGGACGTGCAGAATTGAAAGTAATTACTAGTGACGTTGCCAAATATTCCCATGAAAGTTAATCAATGTATAATATATTAAAGCAATTTTTATGCACTGAACCTGTAATATTTTGCATTAAAATTTTTTAAATGTGCAGACCAAATTCTTACAATGCTAATGAAGTAAATTTAGGTTCTTGTATAATTCTAAAATCTGGCAAGTGCAGATGAATTGAGCGAGGCTGTAAAGAGAGGTCAAGGAACGAATGCACGTTTTTCACGATTGAGGAAAGGAAAAACAATGATTATTTTCTTAATATACGGTACGAAGCTATGTGGATCGTTTTGAAATCTATTATGGGATCATGCGCCCTAGTCGACAGCAAGAGACCCCACGAGTAGACTAGTTGTATACGGTAGGTGTCTAATTCAGTAATTAGGATAGGATAGGATTTACATATTTATCCCGGGGGAGAGGAAAGCCGATAAGACGGCTTATCCATATGGCGAACCACGGCCTCTCGTCCGGTTACCATTCCCAGTCGGGTATGGGATTAGTTTTACTGTATTGTTTGTTTTCGGAAGCATGGACTTGGTGGTGGAGGAAGCCGTAACCGACCAGCGGTTACGTGAACCACCCAACGACGGCGAGGAGTCCAGCAATCCTCTCGCACATAACCATCCCTGCATGGGATTCGAACCTGCGAACCCACGCAGAGTAATTAGAGGTGCGGTGGCGAGCGTATTCCTAACGCTTGGCCCGTTGAGCCACACCGCCGCGCCAATTCTATATTTACCGTATGCAATTTGGTGGGCGTCTGTTTTTTTTTTTGCAAATTCTGAAATTTCCGAGCTAGGCGTTTGTAAATCATTCGATCCCGCGAAAGTGGAAACCTATAAAACAGCTACAATAAATATTTTTTATGGGCACTCCAGCACTCAAAGAACTTGAATAAATATGTTCTGCCATATCATCACTACAGGAGTGGTGACTCTTCTACGGCCCATGGGCCGGGGCCACGGTCCAGCTAATTTGGCCCATAGCTTGATAGCCCATGGCCCCATCAGGAAAAATTCAATTATCTTACCAAAATTTTCAATTTTTACAAAATTGTCAATATTCAAACCGAAAAAAATCGGCTACCACATTTTCTCCTCATGATAAGCCTTTATATAATAAAAATAAAGCAAATACCAAGCAACAGAAAAGGATACTCCTGTAGTATGTGTACCAGGTTAGGGTTAGGACAAAATTTTGTTCAGATTTTCCACATTATAGTTCTATTATGAGTTCGGGGACTGACTGTATTAGCCAAGTGAATAGTCCCCTTACACAACTTGATAGGCCGTGGGTCGTAGAGGAGTCGCCACTTCTACTCTATCATTAAGCCCTTCTATTGGCTTTTTCTTCTCCAGGCTGCCAGGACAAACACTGTAGATCCTATTTCATGATTAAGTCAGCCTATTAGGATAGGATTTACATATTTATTCCGGGGAGAAGAAATCCGATAAGACGGCTTAGCCATATGGCGTACCACGGCGTCTCGTCCGGTTACCAGTCCATGTTTGGTAACTCAAAAGATTAGTCAGTGACCAGCGATAACATGAACCAAGCTACGGTCGAGTCGAGCAATCCTCTCGAACATAATTATCTCTCATATGATGTGAACCCATGAAGGGTAATCAGAGGTGCGTCTCCTCCGATATAAATATAGTTCGTTATTCATTTAGCCGTCTTATCCCTTTTCTCTTCAAATGAAAAAAAAAGGAAAACATATTTACCTTTTTTAATTCGCAGCAAATATAATAAGAAAGAAATTAAATAGTCTTTGTTGCAGTTCAGAAACTTCACAATGACGTTGAGTAAAAAGCGTGACATTTCAAAGTCAGACCAATCTGACAAAGTCGTTAAAGCAAAAAAAGCAAAAGTCGCTGGACCACCTAAAAATATTGCCAAAAGTGACGGAGCTAAAAATGATGATAAAACAGAAAAAAAATTGTCAAAGGACACAGCTGCTACGAGAAAAAATAGAAAAATGACTCGAAAAATGCAAAAACCTAATTATGAATTATCAAAAGAGACTTTAAAGCAATGGGAAAAGCTTCGAAGAAACAAAAATAAAATGACGAAAGCGGAAAAAGTAGATCTTGTAGATGAATTGATGAAAACCGTTAAGAAACAAGACAAAAAGTTGGTGGATCTGATGTACGCTCACGACACATCGCGAGTTCTACAAAGCTGTTTGAAACAAGGTAACGAGGAACAGCGACAGTCGATTTACGATGAATTAAAATCTGAGATCGTAAACATGTCGAAAAATCGATATTCGAAAAATATGGTGTGGAAGTTTTTAAAATATGGATCATCAAAACAAAGAGATGAAATCATTCATGCGTTTGCTGGATTGGTTCCGAAATTAATTCGAAAACCAGGACCAGCGAGTGTGATTGAGTTTGCGTATAATATTTACGCCAATAAGGAACAAAGGAACTTTCTAGTTCAGCAGTTGTACGGGAATACATTCAACGTGACGAAATCAAACGACAGTTCGACACTTGAGGATGTTTTTAAAGAACAGCCAGAGAAAAAGTCGATGATTCTCGGCAATTTTAAGCAGTGTCTGACTCCGTTGGTTGATAAGGAGGTTATTACTCACACAATCGTTCATCGTGTTTTTAACGAATTTTTCACGTTTTGTGATGAGGAGCAGTTGCGTTCGGAAGCGATCGAACTTCTGAGGGATTCTGTGATTCATATGATGCACACGAGAGATGGTGCTCACGTCGCTATGCAGTGTCTATGGCATGGAACGGCCAAAGACCGAAAAGTCATTGTTAGAACGATGAAAGAGTTCATTAGAAAACTGTGCCAAGAAGAATACGGACATCTAGCTCTTCTGGCTGCGTTCGATTCTGTCGACGACACAGTTTTCATGAATAAAGCTTTGATTGCTTCCATTGTGAAAATGATTCCTGAAATCATAAATAACAAATACGCAAGAAAAGTCCTTTTGTACTTGATCTCTCCCCGAAACAAGTCACATTTTTTGCCAGAAACCGTCACGTTTCTGTCGCAAGGGGATGGAAATAAACACAGTAAAAAACCAATGGAAACAAGACATAAAGAGCTAACTGCCATTATTTCTCCTGGACTTGTTTCCTACTTAAAAGACAACATCAGCACCCTTGCTCGAGACAAGTCATTATTTATGTTAGTCGAGGCTGCAATTAACCACTGCTCTACAGATGTTTCTGAATTAATTTCAGCGTTAATAGAATTGTTGTCGGTACCTTTCGAAGCTGGCGTTACCGATGGCAACGGTAAATTACATCTTGTGGAAGACGCTGCTGGACATCTACTTGTCAAACGACTAATCTCCCATAAACCTGACGATAATACATCAGTTTCGTTTGCTAAAAGTTTGTTAGAGACTGTTGCTTCTGAAAATATCTCCTCCTGGTGTTCTTGTAACAGAGGAAGTCAAGTTCTGTTGAGTCTCATACAATGCCCGATAGAAGAAGTTGCTTCAAAATCTGCGAAGATGCTGAAAAAGAATTTGAAGCTTTTGAAGAAGAATAAAAAAGTGAAGTCGACAGAATTACTGATTGAAAAATTGTCAAAATGAAGATTTGAAGAAATTCAAGAAGTCTTCTAGAGTAGAACTCTGTTTTTTAGCCTGTCAATTGGGTTTCTGCAGAACTAACGAATTAGCACCTATGCTTTTGCACTGGTGAATGCCCATGATGCAAGGATACTGTAACAAGAATAAAGTCAACTACTCTAAGGGATCTTAGAGTCTTGCTGCATAATAACACAAATACAATCTGTGTGACCACCTACTTATTTTCTATGCCTTTATGCTGGTGAATATGCGTATGTTTATAATGCAAGGATACCATAGCAAGAGTAAAGATGACCCATAAAGCCCAAACTCTCATTTCTAGAACGCTAAATGCAGACAGTTACTGAAACTCTGTTGCGGTTTTTCGCAAAAGACACTTTCAAGGACATGCTAATTTAAAAACGATTTTCTGTGGGAATGTAGTTTCACTTAAACAGACATGCTCTGTTCCACATTGATTACTCTTTAGTAACTCAAATTGTAAATGTTTATTTGGTTCCATTGCTGTAAATTTACAAATTTGAAAATTCAAATTTAGCATTTTTGAATAAAACTAAAATGGCCTACTTTACTAGTTTCATAATAATAAAACTATGTTTCTGAACTGTTACCAAAAATTATTTTGATTTTAGTTTTTTTGGGATAGTGTGGAGGTGATTACGTATGATTGGTTTATGAGTAATTAAGTCAGTGAATTGTCTGTAAGATTATATCCAGTTGGGAATTTGTTTTTGCTCCTAACAACAAAAAATAAATTGATTTCATTTAAATTCGTTTACAACTTTACTCAATAATTATTATTATTCAATCATTACTCTAAAGACTTTTTGACATTTTTTCAATCTGTTGTTTTTTTCTGCAGATATATTAGTAGATTAAACTAATTTTTATTGGATTATTATATCACAATGGATGATGAAAATTGGCGGGAAAAGATTCAAGAAAGAATTGACGTTGCGGAAAAATTGTTTGAAAAATCGACAACTTTTGCAGATGAAAACTTAACGGGTTCTATGAAATTGAGCAATCGAATAAAATCAGAGTTACGATTTTTAAAAAAAATAAAAAGCGGAAAAATTGAATTTAAAGATGATCATCTTAGCAGCTCGAATTTAACAAGCTTAGAAGCTCTCGTTACTTGTATTGAAGATACGAAGTGCATCAGCGCCATCTTGTGTCCATTCCATGTTGGTATTCAAAATGGAGACGACGAAGAAATTTTCGACCAAGAGCGAAAAGTTATTGTTGACATTGTTTGCAACGACGGGAGCACTTGGATGAAAGTTGTTGCTCGCAATGCGAAAGCGCTTCTTACAGCTTGGGAAGGGAGGGGAGGCTTCGGAGAGAAGAGCATTATCACTCAAGCAGAACTTTTATTGGCTACAGCGAACACAAATTTGAACAATTTCCACCCTCCGGAAATACATTTTGTGTTTTATAAAGGTGTTCCGTTAACCATCGCAAATGGGTTACAAAAAATTGGGATCACAGTCAAAGGAAATATAGTCGACGACCAAAACTTCGAAACAGACAATTTATTGAATAATTCGAAATTAATTTGCCCAAAATTGGAATCAAAAAAGCACAAAACAACTTCTGTAAATTTAGACATTACTGCGTTATTATGTTTAGTGTCCAACTTGTGCCACGGAAAAAATAATTTCGAATTTGCAGTCCCTGTACTAACGAAGCAAGCAATAGAGGAACAGAATTCCCCTGTTTTGTCAAAAATTGAGAAATTTATTGAAAATAAAACGCTTTACGCTTGCGAAACTGCGATAAAAAGTTTCAACGATATTGTCCAAACTGTCGGGGGGGAGAAAGAAAAATTACGCTCCTCTGAACTTTTAAAAAAGGTTATCGTTGTCGATGACAACCCGTCTGAAAGAACAATGTTTCTACAGAATAGTGGAAAAATCAATGAGAGGTCAAAGGTTATATTTGGTACGGGAGATAGCCTCAAAGCAGTCACTGTGACAGCAAACACTGGTTTTGTGCGAGCGGCCTCGCAATGTGATGTAAGGTTCAGTGTCTTCATCCATGAAGCAAGAGCATTGACAGAAAGAAAGGAGAAGAGTGCAAAATGCCTGGATTCGAAGAAAAATTTGTAACCTCGCTGGCTAGAATTCGGAAACAAAAATTTAAATTGATATTCGTCTAACCATGTCTTCGAACTTTTTTAATTTTAAAATTTAAAAAAAAAATGGAACGGCTACTTTGAGCCACATGGAATTGTTGAACAATATAGGAAAAAGTCTTTATTTAAACAATCTAGTCGGCCACCCCTGGCCTAAAAAGGATCATTAAATTGAAGTACCGGTAGGTTAAAAACAAGACACATTAAATATTTGACTAGAAATTGAATAGAAAACTTTTGCAGAGGAGAATTTAGCAGGTTCTTTGAAAATATGCAATCGGAGTTGGGATTTAAAAAAAATTAATCTGGTATATTGTAAATATTTCTTGATTTATACAGGGTATCCATAAAGTCCCTTTACAATTTTGTTTTGAAGTCTGTTCTCACTGAGAACACCTTATCTTGATATTTATTTTTTGAAGTTCTGTTGGTGGTTTAAGACAGTGGTTATTTTTGTGCAATCTTATTTTTTAAAATATTACACAGTGTTCATTTAATGTGGAAGCCTCATGAGCTTTTTGACAAAGAGATGAATATTGAAATTATATAAAAAAAAAAAAAACATTTGAAATTACAAAAATGGTGCTCCAGAAGTGTGTGTACCAATAGGCGGTAACTAATTTTGTTCATCTACTTTACATCAAGTTGTGTGAAGGGACTGAGACATATGTTGGGGGGAATATTCACTTGGCTAACACAGACAGTCCCCGAAATCGTTATAGAACTAAAATAAGGAAAATCGGAATAAAATTATACTCTATACACATACTACAAGAATACCCAGAAAATAATAATGCTTTCAAGCTGATATCTAATCCTAGTTTGAAGTATTTCAAGAATAAAAGTTGAAGATGTCAACTTAAAACAGCTATTTTAAGTTTTCACTTGAAGCTCTCGATATATTATATTGAGTAAATGTGCTTGTGGCAACAGTATTCTTCGTAACCTTAGATTTTCTCATGCAATTAGTGTAGTTTCATTGGTGCGGTGGCCCACTGGGTAAAGTGTTTATAACATTACAGGTTATCGTCTCTGTTTTAAATCCCATTCATTTAAAAAAATGTTTCATTTTCAATATTAATAGTTACTTATCTTTATCTATTATATTCAAGGAGTGAATCGAAGAATTAGGTATTTTTATGTCGGCTTTAGTTGGTCAGTTGTTTATATAATCCCAGTCTGTATTGGCAGAATTCAGGAGTGTCCTATTTCAGTGATGCTTTTATGGTTTATGGCTCATATTTTATCTAATACCTAATTACATATCTGTCCCGAACTCTGAAATATTTTCATCGGTGGTTGGTTTCCTTTTTTTTACATATAACATTTGGTAAATCTAAAACATCACTTAGTTCAGTGCTTCCCAATTGAGGGCCCATGGCCCCCAAGGGGTCACAGTACAGTTTAAGAGTGGCCAATATACTGGACGCTGAATTGCTTTTAATTAATGCAATTTTGTTTCAATACTTCTCCCTTTAAAAAAACATTTCTCTTTCTCTGTAAATCATTTTCAGTGGCATAGCGTTTTCCCTTTTTTGTGCACAAATTGTTTGATAATATTGGAACCTGCCAATCAAATTACCAATATAAACATATTCAAACACTTTGAATTTTAATATTTGTGATTGGTCGCATACTAAACACCCTCGACTCTTTGGCTTTCCATTTGTTTTTGTATACCATGAACAGTCGTAAATACATCATAGACTTATCTGTATCAATTTCTTAGGGCAAATAAATCGGGGCCACAAGTACTGAAAGAGGGCCACGAGCCTTAAAAGGTTGGGAACAACTGGCTTAGTTCATCAACTGGCAATAACTCCTCGTTTTGAGCAAAATCGATTATTAAGTCAGTGGTATCGATATCTCCCCTTTATCTCATTCAGTCAGTGTCACCTTGCTTTGTTGGATCAGGCATCATTTCATTCTATTTTTTTGTTGATGGTTACTTTCGTTATTATTTATTTCCATCGATTTATTATCTCAGCACAACTCTAGTTTATCTCTAACCGCTTACAGTATATTTTTATTGATTTGATTTCTCACTGCAGTTCTAGTTTATCAACGGTTGTTTACAGCAAAACCTAGTAAAATGGGTTGGAATTGGAAATCTCGTGAGATCTGGATGGATAGAGGATACAAATTGGTTTCCTCTAGTTTAATAATCACTACGGTCGTCGGCAGCGTGTTTCTTGGGAATATTGTTTATGAGTAAGTTGAATTTTCATGGTGTGTTTTAGAACAGGGGTTCTCAAACTTTTGATGTTATGGAGCCCGTGAAAAGATTGATTATTATTTACGGATTCTCACAATAAATTTGAAATAAAGAAAAAACATTGTTTTTCACCCATTTGTGACTAAATTAGGATAGGATTTACATATTTAGCCTGGGGGAGAGGATAGCCGATAAGACAGCTTATCCATATGGCGAACCACGGCCTCTCGTCCGGTTACCATTCCAAGTCGGGTATGGGATTAGTTATATTGTTTGTTTTCGAAAGCATGGACTTGGTGGTGGAGGAAGCCGTAACCGCGTGAACCACCCAACCTCTCGCACATAACCATCCCTGCATGGGATTCGAACCTGCGAACCCATGCAGAGTAATTAGAGGTGCGGTGGAGAGCGTATTCCTAACGCTTAGCCCGTTGAGCCACACCGCCGCGCCAGAATTAAAATTCCTTGGAGCTTATAGATAATGTCATATTTGAATTACCGTACCGCCTTGTTGACACATTTCGACGCTGCCGTTGTGAAATTTCATTGATACCGTTATTGCTCTTTTGCAAAGCTATAAAATCCGTACCGCCTTGTTGACACATTTCGACGCTGCCGTTGTGAAATTTCATTGATACCGTTATTGCTCTTTTGCAAAGCTATAAAATTCGCCAAGTCAGTGTTTTAATAAGTTAACGAATAACTTGGGGAGCCCTTAGGTTACTCTAATGGAGCACTTTCAGAACCTACGGTATGTTATAGATCGGGGTCACTCAACTGGCGGACCGCGGTCCAAATCGGGACCTTTCGAGTATTTGATTCGTACTGCATCTAATTCTTTATTTTGGATCATTAGCCCCACTTTTAAAGTTTCCTCTTATAAAACCATTATTATAGATTTAAATAAATATGAAAAGAACTATAACACCAGGATAAACAATCTTGATTATCCAATAATCATTAGCCGATGGAAGGATGCCGAAATATAATTTCTGGAAAGACCGGACTCAAATAATTTTGAAGTTTTGTATGTGGATCTTGGGTAAAAATAGTTGAGTAGCCCTGGTACAGGCTTTCGGGTTTCTAGATAGCGCAACCAGCGCTTGTCTCTGGAAAATAATCTTTCTGGTTGCAAATATCTACTGTTTTATCAACAAAATTTGTGTTAACTGTGAGACCCTGAAAAAAGCTCCAACCGAGCAGCTGCAGATATGTGATGCTTTCCCGCTCGACAATGAGTACCCAATTTCATCACCTTTGCCCATGAGTGAGAAGGGGTCCTCAGGCATAGATAGGTCGACACCAAACCCAGTGGCGTATCTAGGGTATGGCAACCATGGCTCGTGCAATGAGCGCTGTTTGGACAGGGTAATTTTTAAATTGGGCCGTAGTCTTAATTTTACGTAAAATATGCCACTGCCTAGCCCCATATGTTAGTGATTCTTTTGCAATCAGTAATGTTTTCATTTTTTCAGAATTTTCAAACGAAGAAAAGAGAGAAAATTAAAATTCATCGAGGGAACGCTGCCTGTCGCACAACCACAGGAACAAGCGATAAACTATAATAATGACGAAGTGTCAAGGAACTAATGAAATGACTTTATCGTGATATGGACAACAGAGAATGTGTGGAAGTCGATGCATATTCAATGATTTTTTAAATTATTCACGGCTTCTATCCATGCCTTTCGCTCCGAAGAAGGCTCTGTACAGGCAGCTACTGTTTCCCCACCTAATCTATCACACCACTAAAATTGTGATTTTCAGTCTATAAGTTGTGCATGCAACCTAGGGCCTTGGTTTTGTGGGTCGGAAATGAGATGTAAAAAGAAAAAAACTTAAACCCCCCTCTGATATTTCTTGGCTACGCCCCTGATACAAGTCAAAGAGTTGTTAGTTTACAGAAGCATGTGCAGATATTTGAATTCATAAAGTGATTTTTCTATGCATTGTCTCCCTCAGTTGGTTGTCAGACCAGGTATTTTTGTTACAGACACGCTACTATCATGGAAGATTTGTGTTGCCGTTGTTTTATGTGTCATCTGTTTTTGACACCCCTGAGAACATCGCAGCAGAATAGTTAGGACTCAGTTTGAGAAACGCTGACCTATACCGATCACAACAACCTGGGCGTGGTAATAAATGTCTATTTCAAGCTCTGCTCGCCAGGATCCAGATGCATAAGAACGCCTAGTGGGTGACATGGGTTTGGACCCGACATGTGTAAGCTTTGATACCAACAGGGCTAAATTTAAACGCTTCAACTACTAGGCTCGGGTCATCAACCTTTAGCATTGAAAGATCCATTAGGCATCCTTTCAGTCAAACCTACTCGAAGCTGCAAGGGCAGCAACCCCACCCGAAAAAAACTATTCCTTCGTATACTACAATATAAAAACAAATTTGAAACCACAAGATTTATTATGAAATTAAAAATAAAACAGCCCATGCAATGTATGGTCATCACTCCTGTCGAGGATATTGCTGGCCTCATAAACTAACGAAAGCTCGAAGCTTGCTGGCTATTGAAGCGCAAAATTTAGCAGCAATTCAAAGCTTTAGTTTACATTCAACAAATTCTGCAATTCATCCACTCTGAAAATTGAGACAATACTGCAGCTAAACAAAACCTTGTATTTCATGACTTGCTACAAAACACATTCAGGTAAATTTTTTAAACACCAACAATTTGCTGCAGCGATTTCTCATTACAAGTTTGGAACATTTTCCGAATTCACCAAAGCTAGTTCCGTCCTTTCGAGTGTCTGACCTACAACATTGGGACAGACCCAACTAAATTCAATGTCAGAGGAAGAATGTGCGCTTCTTGGCTTACCAGGACCAGTATGGTATAAGCCAGTTTCAGCCCCCAGAATTGGTACCCTATAAATATAAGTTATATCATCATCTTGAACAGTACAGAAGGAATATGCAAATGAGGCAAAATCCATAAACATTATCAAAAGCCCCAAGGTTTTGTGTGGAAATAGCCTACTTTCAAAATCCTGGATCCTTGTAATTAAATCCTTCTCAGAACAGTCAGCCATAGCTCTTTGCATTTCAGTGGTCTTTGTAACTTCGCCCAGAGATAAGTCTACGTGAAGAGTGCGCGTGACCTTGCTTAGAGCAAATTTTTCACGAAAAATGAATCTCACAACAAAATTATTGGATCATGATGTTCTTGACTAAGTCATCAAACAAGGCTTTAATAAGAATATGATTCTCATGAATAAGCCATGCCACTCGCCTTATAAGTTGGTCACTCCTGTCGACCAATCATTTGAGTAAGGATGCGACATCATTTGCTTCGGTTTTTCTTCCAAAAGTTTTTCATAATCTGGCTCGTTCATTCCGCCACACGGTGGCTCAGGTTTATAAACGGAATAATAATCGTTCACTTTCGTAAAAAGAACATTTTTATCGTTCAAAAATGATTTCCTTATTGGCTGAACTTGGGTAGTGGGTGCATGAACGTCTAAAATAAAATACATTCCGTTTCTGTGCGTCTCTCCTTCAGATCTTTTCGAAGCTGGCAACCCTCTCGAGCCAAGGCATTGTATTTTTCGAACCACGTTTCCGTTATTCATGACGTTCTTCAAAAGTCCTTTCATGGTGCTCACCGTCTCGGGTCTCTCTAAAACTTTCATTATGAGTGCGATCTCATAGCGAGGCATTTTTATTATTTCTCTAAAAAGTAAAAAAAAAACAGTTGAAACCGAGTATAAAATTATTTGCTACACTTCACTGCGCAAAAGAATTGCTAGTCTCGTTGCCACTGTAGAGTGGTTCACGAAACCACTGGTCAGTCACAGCTTTCTCCACCATCAAGTCCATGCATATGAAACTGATAACTAACTAATCTCATCCCCGATATGGACCGGTAACTGGACAAGAGGCCGTTCATAATATGGTTAAGCTGTATCATCGACTTTTCTCTCCTCTCAGAATAAATATTAAAAACCTGTGTTATGGAATTGCTGAATTTAGCTCCAAATTTTTTTCAAAAAGCAGTAAAAATGTTACCCATGATTAGCACTTAGCCGTGATAAATGCAAGGGAATTTAGAGTGGAACTACAGGTAATCTATTGCTACAAACACATAATTAAGTTATGAGTATTAAAAAAATTTGATATATACTGATTCGCATCCAAATCCATATTATAGAACAGCGGTTCCTGACCGGAGCCACAGTGGCAGGCGCATAACTCATTTTACTTTTCAATTTACAAGAAAACTCCTCGTTCTTCCTAATTTCATTGCTCGATAAGGTTATTTCACAGGACGTTTTCACTTTGTTGAGCATGAATTGTTTGAACATAATAGGATTTGGAATCTACCAATCAAAATAACACTGGGATGATGAACATGAGTGCCAAAAGCCGCCTGAAGGGGCCTCGAGCTGTGAAACGTTGGGAACCACTGTTATAGAATATGAAACATCGAATATATTCAACATAGGTTATGCTCAACTCAGAAATAAATTTCATCAATGTGTTTCTGAGTTAGGATTAGGTTCTTCTGCGCAGACATATTTCACAGATTAATTAGAGAGCTTCATAAAACCTGAGTCAATGAAAAAAATTATAATAAAAAGAAAGTAAAATATTGCAATAAAAATACAAAAATTTGTTCGTTGATCATCCAAATCAAAAAGTCATTGTCAAGTTTAACAACATACAAAATTGAGAAAAAAAATTAATAAAATCAGCACACTTTTTGCTGGGGAAAGGAAATGCGGAGAACCAAAACTGGATATCATTATCCCGAATGCATTCTTCGTGTTGTTCATTTGAATTTGTTGAATTATTTTGGCAGTGTTCATATTTGTCAAGAGGGACATCGCACAATCGTGTTTCAATTAAAAGTGTCGCACATAAGCTGAAACTACGAATCAGAACACGCTGGTTCGGAAGAAAATTTAGTGCAATCTGAGTCAGTGACGTAGCCAGGGGGGTGGTTTTGCGGGTCAACCCCCCCCCCCTTTCAAAATTAAAAAAAATAAAATCATTCTTCTGTATTATAGATAGCAATTTGAAATGCTTATTAGACCCCCAAGACTACTAAAAACACGTGTATTCCAGCGTTCGATCGGGCCCGCTAGCAGTTTCGATCTAACTTTGCGAAAAAATAATTCAGAACCCCCCCCCCCTTTTAAAAATTTCTGGCTACACCCCTGATCTGAGTTATGCTAGTATAAGCCGACCACTTAGTTTGGCATCTTTTTTTTGAGTTGTAAACTCAGCTTATATGCGATATGCCCCTCTCGACTCATAATCCCTCATGCGTTCAATTATACAATTTGTTATTCATCGAGACAAACCAATTATATTCATTCAATATTTGGGCGTCATATCACGAAATACTCTTAGAATTTCACTGTTGTAAAATATGGGAAAAAATGATCAGGAGTCAGAGGATAACCATAAGCTTTCCCCAGGAGCCATCTCAAGAATCAAATAAGCATGAAATGACAGAATACGCTGTTGGCGATTAAGTAGAGATTATTCTGACCAGTCACAGTTCAATGATTACTCAAGTAAAAAGGAGAGGTCAAATTGGAACTAAAGATATAACAGATATATTAAATGGCTGCATTTCATAGCAAAGTCACTCTAGGTCTGTATTCTAGTAACAAAGGCTGTGCTTTTGAGCGCCATCGAGTGACGAGAACAAATTTTAACGAGTGATCTCGTCCAAGTATTTCCTCATTGCATAAAATATCAAGTTCGCTCGTAATTCCGATATTTTTTGCAACAAATTTTTTCAAAATTTTAATCGTAGCGTTTACAGAACAAATCATAAATGGTTTTTCCAATGTTTTTAATTTGTCACTCCCACGGACGAGAGAGATTTGAATTTGTTCGTCATGACGATGGTAGTTTTGAGATTTTCCTCGATCTTCTGGTGAAGTTAAATTTTCCGTTTTGATAGCGACAACATCTTTTCGAGGGCAGTCCAATCCGCGCTCATGATAAAATTTTTCCTCCCTTGCTGTTTCAAGACGCTGTAAGCTCGGAACTAATTTGTTGACGACATCTTGAAGTGTTCTGTCGTAACCAATATATTGTAGCGGATGGCTATGATGAATTTGATTTCCGCATTTCGGGCAATCATAATTTTTGCTGAGTAATCGTTTGATGAGACAGCTTTTACAGAAAGTATGTAAGCAGTCTACGATGGTTGTTGCTTCTATAAGGTATCCGCCACATACGAAGCAGGTTATATGCTCGTTAAGATCTCGAAGTTTGACGTTCCGGTCCAATTGAAGTTCCATGTTGTCTTGAATATAAAATTAAATTTACTGAAGTAATTAGTCACTGAAAATAACAAGCATTTATAAATTCTATTTCGCTTGAAGGAAAGGGCACGTTGCAAGCTACCTCTGACATCATAAAACAGAACAAAGTGAGCTAAGTACCGTAATGTGAACTGACATCATCTAATAGAATTGACTCTTCTCAAAATATGAAGAATTTCCTCTAATGAGATTTGTAGATTATAAAATCCAAATTTCACTCCTTTTACTTATTGGACACGTAGTGGACATAACGATCGTTTCAATATTATGTTTTTCTTGTTGTTTGACACAGAATAACACACCTAGTGGAAATATTAAAAAACCGCTTTTCTCTTCGAATACTGGACCAATTGCTTTGAAATTTTCAGTGGTTGAAGATAAATTTTTTCCCCAGAAGGCTATTACTTTTATTCATTTTAAATATTTCTGGGGTAGTATAGTTTAGTACCACAAGTACTTCCAGTGGGCGTAGCATAACGAATTTTGCATATGTTATTCCTAACCCCCACCTGACTATGCCATCCAAAAATTACGTCACCAACACGTCATAGGGATTGCCAAAGTATAATTACGATCGCCCGAAATGACATCTGCGCCGCCGATAACGAACTTGCTAAAGCCGGCGATCTCTCTTCTATAGTGATCGTTGTGACGAGAAAACGAGAGAAATTGCTTGCTCGATTTCGAGTGATCGTCTGCGCGTTTTGGACGACCATCCCATACTTCGGTGGGCCTTATTATGCCACTGTGACGTCGAAATGACATAATTTTTCGGTGACGTAGTCAGGTGGGGGTTAGGATTGACATATGCAAAAATTGTTGAGCCAGGTCAACTAGAAGTACATGTGGTACTAAACATTAGATTAGATTCTTTTGCGCAGACATATTTCACAGATTAATTAGAGGGCTTCATAAAACCTGAGTCAATGAAAAAAATTATAATTAAAAAGAAAGTAAAATATTGCAATAAAAATACAAAAATTTGTTTGTTGATCATCCAAATCAAAACGTCATTGTCAAGTTTAATAACATACAAAATTGAGAAAAAAAATTAATAAAATCAGCACACTTTTTACTGGGGAAAGGAAATCGCGGACAACCAAAACTGGTTATCATTATCCTGAATACATTCTTCGCGTTGTTCATTTGAATTTGTTGAATTATTTTGGCAGTGTTCATATTTGTCAAAAGGGACATCGCACAATCGTGTTTCAATTAAAAGTGTCGCACATAAGCTGAAACTACGAATCAGAACACGCTGGTTCGGAAGAAAATTCAGTGCAATCTGAGTCAGTGACGTAGCCAGGGGGGTGGTTTTGCGGGTCAACCGCCCCCCCCTTTTAAAATTAAAAAAAATAAAATCATTCTTCTGTATTATAGATAGCAACTTGAAATGCTTATTAGACCCCCAAGACTACTAAAAACACGTGTATTCCAGCGTTCGATCGGGCCCGCTAGCAGTTTCGATCTAACTTTGCGAAAAAATAATTCAGAACCCCCCCCCCCTTTTAAAAATTTCTGGCTACACCCCTGATCTGAGTTATGCTAGTATAAGCCGACCACTTAGTTTGGCATCTTTTTTTTGAGTTGTAAACTCATCTTATATGCGGGGTATATGAGATATGCCCATCTTGACTCATAATCCCTCATGCGTTCAATTATACAATTTGTTATTCATCGAGACAAACCAATTATATTCATTCAATATTTGGGCGTCAAATCATGAAATACTCTTAGAATTTCACTGTGGTAAAGTATGGAAAAAACTGATCTGGAGTCGAGGATAACCATAAGCTTTCCCCAGGAGCCATCTCAAGAATCAAATAAGCATGAAATGACAGAATACGCTGTTGGCGATTAAGTAGAGATTATTCTGACCAGTCACAGTTCAATGATTACTCAAGTAAAAAGGAGAGGTCAAATTGGAACTAAAGATATAACAGATATATTAAATGGCTGCGTTTCATAGCAAAGTCACTCTAGGTCTGTATTCCAGTAACAAAGGCTGTGCTTTTGAGCGCCATCGAGTGACGAGAACAAATTTTAACGAGTGATCTCGTCCAAGTATTTCCTCATTGCATAAAATATCAAGTTCGCTCGTAATTCCGATATTTTTTGCAACAAATTTTTTCAAAATTTTAATCGTAGCGTTTACAGAACAAATCATAAATGGTTTTTCCAATGTTTTTAATTTGTCACTCCCACGGACGAGAGAGATTTGAATTTGTTCGTCATGACGATGGTAGTTTTGAGATTTTCCTCGATCTTCTGGTGACGTTAAATTTTCCGTTTTGATAGCGACAACATCTTTTCGAGGGCAGTCCAATCCGCGCTCATGATAAAATTTTTCCTCCCTTGCTGTTTCAAGACGCTGTAAGCTCGGAACTAATTTGTTGACGACATCTTGAAGTGTTCTGTCGTAACCAATATATTGCAGCGGATGGCTATGATGAATTTGATTTCCGCATTTCGGGCAATCATAATTTTTGCTGAGTAATCGTTTGATGAGACAGCTTTTACAGAAAGTATGCAAGCAGTCTACGATGGTTGTTGCTTCTATAAGGTATCCGCCACATACGAAGCAGGTTATATGCTCGTTAAGATCTCGAAGTTTGACGTTCCGGTCCAATTGAAGTTCCATGTTGTCTCGAATATAAAAATTAAATTTACTGAAGTAATTAGTCACTGAAAATAACAAGCATTTATAAATTCTATTTCGCTTGAAGGAAAGGGCAAGTTGCATGCTACCTCTGACATCATAAAACAGAACAAAGTGAGCTTAGTACCGTAATGTGACATCATCTGATAGAATTGACTCTTCTCAAAAAGTATGAAGAATTTCCTCTAATGAGATTTGTAGATTATAAAATCCAAATTTCACTCCTTTTACTTATTGGACACGTAGTGGACATAACGATCGTTTCAATATTATGTTTTTCTTGTTCTTGTTGTTTGACACAGAATAACACACCTAGTGGAAATATTAAAAAACCGCTTTTCTCTTCGAATACTGGACCAATTGCTTTGAAATTTTCAGTGGTTGAAGGTAAATTTTTTCCCCAGAAGGCTATTACTTTTATTCATTTTAAATATTTCTGGGGTCTAGTATAGTTTAGTACCACAAGTACTTCCAGTGGGCGTAGCATAACGAATTTTGCATATGCTATTCCTAACTCCCACCTGACTATGCCATCCAAAAATTACGTCACCAACACGTCATAGGGATTGCCAAAGTATAATTACGATCGCCCGAAATGACATCTGCGCCGCCGATAACGAACTTGCTAAAGCCGGCGATCTCTCTTCTATAGTGATCGTTGTGACGAGAAAACGAGAGAAATTGCTTGCTCGATTTCGAGTGATCGTCTGCGCGTTTTGGACGACCATCCCATACTTCGGTGGGCCTTATTATGCCACTGTGACGTCGAAATGACATAATTTTTCGGTGACGTAGTCAGGTGGGGGTTAGGATTGACATATGCAAAAATTGTTGAGCCAGGTCAACTAGAAGTACATGTGGTACTAAACTATACCAGACCCTATTTCTGTTAGCTCTGTGAGATTTGTTTTTTGTTTGTTATGACGTCATCAAACGTTCTGCGGCATCGGACCCCATTTTGTGTCCTACTGTACCGGTACTGCTTCGCTTGGTGTAAATATATATGTAGACTGTGATCTGACGGTACGGTAAACCGTACTGCGAACAGCCGTGTCCATATATTTGGGCGTAGCTCTCTTGTTTTATTGTGTCTTTATTACTTCTTTTGGCAACGATACTGTAAGCTTTAAACTTTCCTCAAGGTTTTGTTTGCTGTCCTAATTTTGTAATCAGTTTGTTTTTATTTATTTTTACCAAGAAATATACAGAATATATGAATACCGGTATAGCGTCTTCAATTATGTTGATTACGGAGCCGAAATAAACATATAAAATACATAATATTAACGCATGCATCCAAGTAATCATAATTAACCTATTATTATTAATCTATCCAATGCGTATCCAATCCTATTTATTCGAATACGGCATTTAATATAGAAAAAACTCATGCTATCCAGCCAGATCTTCGCCAAAATCGTTAATTTGCTCCATAGTGTCGCCATGTGTCAACATTGTGAGACAAAAAAAAATTGAGATTTATGGTTTAGATATACTGTAATCAGGTCATTTGTCAGATTTTAGTTTCTTAGGGTCAAAGGTTGGAGAAGCAAATTGCCTTCCTTACTTCGGCAAACTTGGAATTTATGAGGATTTTAGCACATCGTAGGGTTTCGTGATACGTCACGTTATCTATGCATGTATGTATGTTTATCTGCGCAGCTATAATGCTATGAGCTACCGATATGTGCAGTACTACGGTACCGGTACCGGTACTGTATAGGTATTTATTTGTAAACTAGTGACGTACCGGTACCGGTAGTCTTTGAACTATAATTCCAGTAACTCACATTGATTTCTGGATTTGCTTGACAGTGAACTTAAAATGGTATAGCACTTCTACTGGCAGACTGGTATACCGGTACTGGAATAAATAGCTTTAATTCGTACTTGGATACCGGTAGCCTTTGTGTGTGCTAAAAATTTAGTTTGTAGTAGGCGGGTATTTCAATTGAATTGTTGTATTTCGCTTGCTTTTTTTTCATTGGATTTTTGAAAAACAAAACAATATTGCGAGAAACAATATCAATCAACAAACAATACCATTCCAGATCACACTATGCATACCCTTTATTTTGGATTTTTATAAAATGAAACATTATTGCAGTAAACAATATTAATAAATAATATTTCATCCTATCTAGGCTATAAATTAGGGCCCTTCAGTTTCGTACCTAACGTACTTCTAGTAGGCGTAGCATAACCATTCTTTGACATGCCAATCCTAACCCTCACCTGACTACGCCATCCAAAAATTACGTCACTATGACGTCACAATTACATCATAGAGCTTGCCAAATACTCGTAAGATCGCCCGAAATGGCATCGACGCCAACGATAAACAGATAAAGAACTGACTAACGTCAGCGATCTCGTCTTCTGGTTCTCGTCTGCTCGTCTTGGATGACAGTTCGTCACTGTGACGTAATATTTGGATGGCGTAGTCAGGTGAGGGTTAGGATTGATACGTGAAAAAATTGTCATGCTACGCCCACTAGAAGTATGTTAGGTAAGAAACTAAGATCTAAATAACACCCGTTTTGACTTAAGACATCGCCGTAGAAAATGCGAAAAGACGGAGAACTTACCATCGGTAGTCAAGTTGTCTGTGTAGTCGAGTTGTCGCCTTTCGTATGTCCCATGGCCACATTGCGTTTAGTGTATAGTATTCGCGCAAAACGGACTTCTATTTTATTTTTTTTCGAATTTGGGTTGCATTTGGCAATATTTAAGTACTCACAGCATTCATTTTCACATCACATTTGTGTTTGGTGTTATTTAAGCAGTTACGACGTTTACTTCGCAAGACGCCATCTGTTGATTACTATTAAACGAAATCTGTTTCCAATTTGTAAGATATGAAGATGTCACAATACAAGGAAAAAATTGATTTTAATTTTTTTTTTTTCAGTAATTTATTTAAAATATGAGTACGATCCTAGAGTCTGGCATGGAGGCGTCAACGTCAGAGCGAACTCAGTTCTTTCATCAGTCGGCTCGGCATGAAAGTGAGGGCGATAAAGAGCACTTCTCTGACTCCGAAGTTTATATTACACACCAACATGAGCGCCATGACAAGCGTTTGAAACATGGATCAGATTTGAACACCAAACCCCACCTAGAGGATGAAAATTCTTTTCAATTTGTATTTTATTTAGCGCATCGTTGCATTTCATGGATGCAAATTGTGACGAAAGATCGATCCTCGCAGACAATTGTTTCATTCATTCTGGGTGTTGTTCTCGGGATCACTCTAACAGCTTTATTATTCCAGCACCGATTTCTGATTGGGGGGATGGAAACGAAGAAATCTGAATATTTTTTCAATGACGTTTTACAACACACCATCCCATATGAAGTCAGGTTAAAAGAAATCAATAATATGATGGGTAAGGATCCGATTATGGAGCCTGAATTTGGAAAAGGGAGGGGAGATTACCCTGTCGTAAAAGCTGATAGCCCAAAACATGTAGTTGAAGAACCCCCATTTGAAGAGACCGTCCCTAAATCGATAAATAAAGAAATAAATTTTGGTTCCAAAGTGTTCGTTGGGGTTATTACTGCTGAAATTTTCCTCGGATCACGAGCAATAGCAGTGAATTCAACATGGGGGTCCCAAGTCGATAAACTCTCATTTTTCACCGAGCTTGGATCTGCGGAGAAATATGGCGTTCCTGTGATTAACCTAGAGGGCGTTAGCGATAGGGAGTACCCCCCACAGAAAAAAGCGTTCAAAATGTTGAAACACATGTGCGAGAACCATATCGACGATTATGATTGGTTTATTAGAGCTGACGATGACGTCTATATCCGCGTTGAAGAGCTAAAAGAGTTTCTGGGCTTGATTGACAGCAATAAACTAATCTACATGGGTCAACCGGGGCATGGGGTCCCAGAAGTGCGGGACCGACTTGGCCTAAACGGACATAATTTCTGTATGGGCGGCCCTACGGTGATGTTCAATCGAAAAGCACTCAAAAAACTGTGCCCACATCTCGATGAGTGTATGGCTGAGGTTGTCTCTGGTGAGGAAGACGTTGAAATAGGTCGTTGCGTGAGTAACCATCTACATATTGAGTGCACTCACGCTTGGGAGACTTTGAAATTATTTTATCATTCCTACCAAGAAGAATACACTGAGGAACGTCCGTTTTTAGGGAATTTAGCCGAGAATGTTCATCTCCAGAAAGCAATTACGCTCCATCATGTTAAAGTACCGTACATTATGTACAAAATTCATCGACATTTTACAAGCTTACTTCTGAATTCCTCGACCCAAGAAATATCGTATTTACGGCACCAATCAAAAGCTTTGAACGAGCACCTTCCAGTTTTTAAACACCGCCAACTATCGACGGTAAAAATTCCTCCCCGGCCTTACAAAGCTGAAAAAATTAACGGTGTAACATCGTGGAAGTCGTTCAACGTCGAAGCAATGTTCGGTCTGTCGTATATGACTCCCAGTCGAGATATTACAAACGATTGTTTAGCTGATCTCAAACAAATCGGGGAAACTGCTATCGACGTAGCGATAGATCACAGCGCTACACACTTAACATACAGTCATTTAGCGGGGGGATATTACCGTACTGACCCATTACGAGGCACAGACTATCTATTGGATATTTCGTTTTCTAGCAAAGAGGAAGGAAAACCTAACGAGGTCAAGCGAGTTCATATTTTACGACCGTTAGAAGATTTGAAAGTGTCAGCGATTGAAGAATACGACAACAAACTAGAGACGGTTAATCTTTATATCATTCTGCCGATTCGAGAAAGTCCGAGTGCTTCTGGGGATTTAGAACGCTACATTCGGAAATATTACGAACCCACAATTTTACAGCGTGCTTTCGGATCTCAAGATTCTGTCAATATCATTCCTACGCTGATTATTTCAATGTATAACAGCAAATCTAATGGAATTTCAGATGCTCAGGATTCTATAACACCTTCTGTACAAGACGTGGTAAACTGGTTTCGTGTAAAATATCCCGAATCAAAAATGGATGTATTTCCGAAAGGGAACACTGGTTCGCAAGCGGAACAAAACACTTACTCGCACAATATAGATTTCGCGTACATGCAAGCTGTTTTACATATTTCGAGATCTCGAAAAGAAGTTACGAGGTCTAAAGAAGATAATGAAAAGGACGTAGTGCTGCTATCTTCAATGAAATTTAGTCTAACGAAAATGATGCTGGACACGTGTATTGAAAGATCATCTCTAATAACCAAAGAAGAAAAAGCCGATTCCGAACAAAACGGCAAACATATCCAACTTTATCAGCCTGTGCCTTTTGCCCTTCATCCCGGTAAAAAACTAACCGATTCAAATAATATACCAGAAAAAGACACAGGTTTTTGGTATCAAAAAGGCGACGAAAAAAATGATTTAAACATGCCGATTTGTGGATCTGTAGCTAACTTTATATCTGTAGTCGATAACGTACAAACTGTAACTTCTTCATTTATTAAAATGTTGTTCAAAAATATTTATGATTCTAAATTTATGCTTCAAGTTATTCCGGACGAGAACGTTCTATTAAACGATGCAAGGTAGTGGTGACGAACAGTAATTTTTACGACGCTTGCCTTTCCTTCTGCAAACAGCCACAAATATCTAGTGACTGAAATCTTTCCTGTTTACAATTCGAAATTCATCTCTGACGAGAATGTTGTTAAACGATGCAAAGTAGGGGTGATAATTCATTTTATTTTTTTATTCAATGATTACGCCTTTTGTTTCAAACAGGGCTTTATATAAGCAACCACTGATATCTACCGATATGCTGTTTTGTGGAGCAATCAGAATCTTTCGGTTTCAGCGTTACCTATCAAATTTATTACAATCCGGTTGAAGTGGTGGGCACTTGATTTGAACCTGAGTAATCGCCATAGCAGCCAATAATAAATTTATATGGTATTGGATATAGTCGATTTATTTATCGATATAATCTATTTGGACATCCTTGCTAGTTCTTCTAAATCAGCGTTTCTCAAACTTTTTTTGCCTCTGAACACCTACGCTTTTTATCTTGCCTCATGGAACCCCGACAAGTTAGAGAGTAAAATGTATGGGTGGTTTCCAGAACATTTAGCCTAAGGTAAAATTAAAAAGGTTGTGGTAAACTTGGTTGATGGTATTGAATTGTTATTAACGAAAATTCTATGCTTTCCGTACTAGCACAAGGCATGTGCACCTGTTTAAATAGCTGGGCTGTCCGTCGTCTGTTTGTTGCCAGTTAGAAGACAAATTTATGACCCTGAGATTGCTTTGGGGACCAATTTCGTCGTACGTTCGATGCCTGTTCTGCAGAACGCTCCCAAAGAAGCTCTGTTCCACGGAACAAAGTTTGAGAAACGCTGTTCTAAAATTCATTATCTTCTGTCTTAGAAGTGGCTGTTTGTCCAGAGTGATACAAGTCTAAAAAAACATTCCTCACTTTTTTTCCAGAAGCACATATTATGTCCTGTATAAGCACTTTATTCCAATCACTGTATATCTGTATTTTTATTTTTTTCCCCAAATCAGAAATATAGCCTTTTTTCTGACAAACAATTTGATATTTTTGACTGGCTTTAATAGCTCTTCTTAGTGATTATCTGTAACTTTACTCAGAGATGAGTCTCCTTCACTTCTGAGTGAGTTTCTGTAACTTTGCTCAGAGATGAGTCTCCTTCACTTCTGAGTGTGCGCCTGTAACTTTGCTCAGAGATGAGTCTCCGTTACTTTTGAGAGAGTGCCTACAACTTTGCTCAGAGATGAGTCTTCTTTACTTCTGAGTGAGTGCCTGTAACTTTGCTCAGAGATGAGTCCCCATTACTTCTGAGTGAGTGCCTGTAACTTTGCTCAGAGATAAGTCTCCTTTACTTCTGAGTGAGTGCATGTAGTTCATAGTTCCAGCAGACTTTGACAATGAGTGTGAGTAAAGTGAGTGTGCAAAACTTTGCTCAGAGATGGGTTATCTTTACTTCTGAGTGAGTGCCTGTAACTTTGCTCAGAGATGAGTTTCCTTTACTTCTGAGTGAGTGCCTGTAACTTTGCTCAGAGATGAGTCTCATTACCTTCTGAGTGAGTGCCTGTTACTTTGCTCATAGATGAGTCTCCTTTACTTCTGAGTGAGTGCCTGTAACTTTGCTCAGAGATAAGTCTCCTTTACTTCTGAGTGAGTGCCTGTAACTTTGCTCAGAGATGAGTCTCCTTTATTAATTCTGAGTGAGTGCCAGTAATTTTACTTCTGAGCGAGTGCTCGTAACTCTGCTCAGAGATCAGTTTCTTTTACTTCTGAGTGAGTGCCCATAACTTTGCTCAGAGATGAGACTCCTTTGCTTCAAAATTTACTTTTTGAATTAATTTTTTGGTTACTCAATCAAATTTTTGAATGAAATTTTTTTTTTTTTATTTGTGTCGACAAGCTAATTTCTATTGATAGGTTGGGTTGGTGTCAGAATGTAATTGAAGCAATGGCTTTTAATAATATGAATAAATGTGTTTTTGTATATCATGGCTCACATGGACAGGGGTGACCTCCCAAAAATTTGAATGTATCCCAGATTTCTGAAACTTTTGGGTACAATCATACACAAACAGAAGTTCAAGTGCAAAATAAATTTTCTCATTATTGTAGTAGATTAAAAATTCTGTTTTATTTTTAAGAGAATCACCCTGTACTGGTGTCTATTTCACGTTTTGCAAATGCACGAATCAACCAAGCATTTTTATGACGTGAATATTCAAATTTGTTACTTATATATTCTTCTATGCCATATTATTTGCCCACAGGTTTCAAATAATGTTAGCAGCTTCATTTATCAAATTTTGCTCTTTTAAAAATCATTTTTTCCAAAATATGCTATACCATTGAGTTTCTGCTGTTAGACCTGCTATTTATATTTCCTCTATGTTGTGTGCTGGTGTATATACTACAAGGAGTGAAAAAACTATTCTATTTTATTCAAGAGTCTTACTGCACACTAATATAAATATATTTCTGTACCGTTTTGTCTGACCAAAATCATATTTCCTCATACAAATGTAATCCAATTCAATTAGCGTGTTAGGGGTCCCGTTGACATTTTGTTGTAGCTGAAGCCATGCTTACCGAAATATCTAGTGGTTAGGGTTAGGTCCTAATTTTATTCCTGTTTTCCTTATTTTAGTTCTATTACGAGTTTGGGGACTGTTTGTGTTAGCCAAGTGAATATACTGCGTGCCCATAGGTTTCAGTCCCTTTACACAACTTGATGTGAAGTAAGCGAACAAAATTAGTTACTTTCATATTGGTACACATACTTCTGGAGCGCAGGTTTCAGTCTTTCCTGGTTGTTATTTTCATGTACTTTTTATTATTGTAATATTATCTGTATTATCAATCACTGCATTTCTTTTTAAAAATTCAGATTCTAGATAAAATAATTTACTTTCTTCAACAAAAGGAGGGGGAACCACCTACTTAAAAATTAAACCTGGTGAGTGAGTCACAGAGTGTTTCACTTTGTTGAGCAGGAATTGTTTGAACATGATGAGACATGAGTGCTGGAAGCCTCTGGCCACGAGCCATAAATGGTTGAGGAATCACGGCTTCAATGGGATCTTAGCGTTAGACTTCACCTAACTCTCAATGTCTCCCTCCAGTGGTTTGATGATATGCGTGTTTCAATGCTTGGTACAGTGGTACCCAACCTAGTTCGCCAAATTCCGTTACTTATTAACTTTTTATTTCTCCCTCACTATCCATATGAACTACCTTAGATATTCAGTCTTTAATTGATCCTTAGATAGTGTTATGAGCATGCCAGACTCCTTCTTTTGTGCAGTTTAATTAGTGCATTATGTGTACATAAATAAGGGTACTCCCATTCCAGGTTAGGGTTAGGGCATAATTTTATTCCGATTTTCCTTATTTTAGTTCTATTACGACTTCAGTGACTGTCTGTGTTAGCCAAGTGAATATACCCCCCCTCACATAGGTTTCAGTCCCTTTATATCGTTCCAATTATACCTATTTTATTCGTAAACTCATCTGACCTTCAAATTTTCTGCTTTTCTAGCGACCGCCCTGTATAATGCATATTGTTAATAAGCTTTAATGACTGCTTATGCGAGGCCATGTTCAGAGCAGAAGGCATGAATTAGCGCAGACCAAGTATTGCCTGCAGGCCAAATCTGACATGTTGGGTGATTCAATCTGGCCCGCCTGATGCTGCCACAACCAAACCAAAACCAAATTTTGATGTTAAGCTAAAAATAGCTCAAGAAATTTGTTGAAATTGGAGTGAAATTTAGTTTTGGCGCGAGGCCTGTTGTTTTCCACTTTTTCTTTTGTAAAGCTGTGAATATTGTTCATAAAATAACTTTTTGTGGCCCGCCAGTCAACGTGGGCAAAATTTTCGGCCCCTGACCCATAAACTTAGCCCACCTCTGAATTGGCATCGTATAAAAATACCTCTGTAATGTTACATTGAACATTTGTATTTAGACAACACTTCGTAGCAAAGGCCATGTCAAGTCCTGAGGAGGAGGGGGAACCCCCTGCCAGAATGATAAAGCTATGCTCACATGATTCACTGTCAAGATCGAACCTAGTGGTTGCAAACAAAACTGAATATGATGTCACAATAGAGTGGATTGATTTGGCAGGTGACCGAGTTTGCTATATAAAACAATTACGTCCAGGAAAAGCAGTTGCAATTGTTACTTACGTCGGCCATTACTGGGTGTTTTGTGAAACAAACTCTCGTCACCCTCTAGTGGTGATTCCAGGAAGGCATTCTGTTTATTTCCCGATACCAAGTCACGAACGTGAATACCAAACAATCAGGGTTTCGAATCCTTTATTAACTTTACGACAGTCGTGTTTAAACTCAATCCACCGGAATATATTATCAAATTACTCCCGGATGGAAAATATTTTTCAAGAGATTGACTGTCTTGAGCTACCAACGTCAATTACGAGATCTCTGAAAAAACTTTTCGAAGACCAGAATAATAAAAATATACCGATTTATATTTACCCAGAAGAACTTGAGGAGTAATATATATTTTTTTTTTTGGAGGTGGTTCTTAATCTTTTTTCTTTTAAATCATGAATTAATTCTCGGTTAAAATTCATTCTAGAATTGTTGAGAAATAATAATGTTCTCATTTTCGTAAATAGCAATAAAATTGCAATATTTTCATTTTTTTTTGTGAAAAATCTGTATTTCTTTTCATCAGTACATAAATAGCTGCTATATATAACGCTGCGTTGTCTCTTTACCCATTTACTATTTCATTACTTTATAATAAAATTCTTAGTTTTCCTCGAATTGAGATCAAACTATAGCTTAGAGCAGCGGTTCCCAAACTTCTATTGATCATGGTCCCATTCAGAGAGCTCTTAGCACTCATGGCCCCCTGTTTATCATTGCAATGGTATTTATAGCGTTATTTTGATTGGTCGATTCCAAATCCTATTATGTTCAAACAACATCATGCACAAAAAAGCAACGAAAACACCCTGTGAAATAACCTTATCAGGCTTTGAAACTAGAAAGAACAGGAAGTTTTCTTGTGAAGGGAAAAGTAAAATCAGTTTTGTGCCCAGCATTGTGGCCCTCCTCCAACTTTTCTGTGGCCCCCGATTAGGAACCGCTTGCCTACTGAATATAAAAAATTCGAGTGTATCATAATTTTTTGAATGCTGTATTGTATCTTTAAAACTACTATTTTGATTTCAATCAATGTTAATTTCACACAGGGACGTTCAAAACAGTTATTGGTTATATTCGATTTAGTAAATTAGGATAGGATTCACATATTTATCCCAGGAGAGAGTAAAGCCAATAAGACAGCTTAACCATATGGCGAACCACGGCCTCTCGTCCGGTTACCTTTCCATGGGGAATGGGATTAGTTATTTGTTTTTCGGAAGCATGGTCTTGATAGTGGAGGTAGTTGTAATTCTTGAATTCAGGAATAATTTAGAATATTTTTTTTTTGAAAATGTTTTTTTGGCATATATTATATTGTAACGGACAAAAAAATAGTAACTTCTGACAGAATAAAATGGAGAATTGTATGGAATGTAATATGTGTACTAGGTTAGGGTTCGGCCATAATTTTAGGTATAAATACTACGGGAGGCTCTTGGCTAGTCTTTGAACTGATAATAGGACTAAAATAAGGAAAATTGGAAAAAAATTATCGCCTAACCCTAACCTGTTACCCATGTTACGTTCCGATGTCCGCCATCTTGGTTCGCATACTTCGGGAGCACCCCTCGTTCTGTATGTAAAAATTATTTACAATATGGTAAAAAAATAAACTACTGATTACAGATAAATAAAATAATCTTAATAATTTCTCTCATCAATTGTTTATGTTAAATATAAGTAATTCGAATGTGTCTTATTTTTCGAATACTAAATATGCTTTTGTATTGGAATAACTGTTTTAAATATATAGGCCTATGAATTACATATCTATACAAATTTTTATTTTTATTTCAGTCTTAGTACAACATATGCCCTTAGCAATGCTACCGTTTCATTTATCGGCTGATGATAAAGTCTTAAATAAAATATTTCCATCATTATTTGTTTATGTCAATTATAAGTATTTTCGAATACTAAATATGCTTTTGTATCGAAATAACTGTTTTAAATATATAGGCCTATAAATTACATATCTATACAAATTTTTTTTTTATTTCAGTCTTAGTACAACATATGCCCTTAGCAATGCTACCGTTTCATTTATCGGCTGATGATAAAGTTTTAAATAAAATATTTCCATCATTATTTGTTTATATCAAGTAATTCCGAATACTAAATATGCTTTTGTATCAAAATAACTGTTCTAAATATAACAAATTTTCCTTATTATTTCAGTTATTGTAAATCTTAGACAAAGCAATTTCAGCAATGTTACCTTTATCTTTATTAAAGACGGCTGTGAACCATCCCATGCTGGTGGAATTGAAGAATGGAGAAACGTATAACGGACATCTTGTTAATTGTGATAATTGGATGAATATTAATCTGAGGGTAGGTTTTGCTCTTGGATATGGATTTGATCATTCAAATTTGGAATTGTTATTTTATCAAATTACTATGAAGCAGGGTTGAGATGCTTGGTGTGGCACAACACTGGGTGCCCCCCCTCGAAGGTTGAATCCTCTGAGAGATAGAATAGGATTTACATATACGTCCCTGGCGAGAGGAAAGTCGTTAAGACGGCTTAGTCGTATAGCGAAGCACGGCCTCTTGTCCGATTACCATTCCATGTCGGGTATGGGATTAGTCAGTTACTTGTTTTCGGAAGCATGGACTTGATGGTGGAGGAAGCCGTAACTGACCAGCGGTTACGTAAACCACCCTATTGGGCAAGGAGTCCAGAAATCCTCTCGCACATAGCCATCCCCAAACGGGATTCGAACCTGCAATCAGAGGTGCGGTGGCGAGCATATTCTAACGCTTAGCACAATGCTATAAGTTTGAAATGATACAAAAGAGCTTGTTCATTTGTTTTTTTTTACACTTCAATGCAGTGTTCAAGTTATCTGAATAAATAACAACATGGTGTTTGGTGAAGCAAATGAAGTATTAAACTTCCAGGCAAATGTCATCAAACCTATCCTAAGATCAGGGGCCAGGTTTTCAAAAGGGGGGGGGGGGGGTTCTGAAATTGGGAATAAAACACATCAGCTTCTAAAACAGGTGCCGCGATTAAGTTGAAATGAACTTTTTCATCGGATAATGATTTTTCTGTTTCGTAAAATGTTCAATCCAGGGCCGATGTGAAATAGACTTTTCAACCCACAAATTACCACACACCGAAGCCCCCCCCCTGGTAATTCCCCTGCCTAAAATTAACAGAACAAAACAGATCAGAAAATTGATGACGGAGCGTTACATGAAAGCTCTCCCTATTTTTAATTTTTCATGTATCTTTTCATGTCTCAGGAAGTCATCTGCACTTCAAGAGACGGCGACCATTTTTGGAAAATGCCGGAGTGTTACATACGAGGCAGCACAATCAAGTATCTACGAATTCCCGATGAAATTATCGACATGGTAAAAGAAGAAAATTTCTCTAAAGGTCGCGGAAGAGGGCGAGGTCCAAGGGGCCGTGGAGGAGGCCCGAATAGAGGTGGATTTGGAGGTCGTGGAAGGTCACAAGGGGGAGGACGTGGAGGCCAGGGAGGGAAAAAACCACAAAGACCCAAACCCCAAGAGTGATAAAGGGGAATCAATTTGATGTGTCTGTTTGGAGGAGAAACTACTACAAGTCATTCTTGTGTGGTTACTGAAAGAAATTCTTGTCTGATAAGTTGACTTGATTATTTATTCACATACCACTAGCTCGTGGCTCGATTCATGATTAGTTTTTTTGCTAAATAACCATTCAAAGTTGAGTCTCATTTACCTCTGATTGAGTGCCCATAATGCACCATTATAGTCATAGTCTAGTTTATTTTTTCCCATTCAGTAAAAAATAACATACGAAATTAACAAAATACAAAACTGAAAACACATTTTTACTGGGGAAGGGAAGTCGCGGGGAACCAGGAATGGTTATCGAGCAGCGACACCCGACATTATGATTCTATATTGTTCCAGTAGCTTTGACTTTTTTAGTGATTGCACATAACTTCACTCAGAGATGAGTCCACTTTACTTTTTGGTGAGTGCGCATAGTGCTTCATGATTCTATATATTTTTAGTGGTCGCTTTCTGCGATTGCACATGACTTCGCTCAGAGGCGAGTCTTCTTTACTTTTGAGAGAATTCTTTTAATGGATAATTTGAACTACGGTCTCTTGTCTGGTCACAAGTTTAGGGTGGATATAAAAATAGTTACCGTATGTACTTTTTAGTTATGTAATTCACTTCAGGTTCGTGGACTTGATAGCCAGGAATTTTCAAAGGGGGGAGGGGATTCTTAAATTTTAATTGCCAAGTTAAACCATAACAGCTAGTGGGTCTCAATGCTTGCAATATTCGAGAAATTGAATTGCCTTACATGTTCTCTCCCCGGGCTTTGCCCTTGTTGGTGGCGTCCTAAACTAAAATGTCTCGTGTTTTAAACCTCAAGCTTTGGCAATATTCCTGAATTTCAGCTTTGTGTGTTTGTATTTTTGTACCAATGTTATTTCACTAATCAATCAAGTTTGGAATACAGAATAACTGCTGCAATGTGAACACTGAATAAATTTGTGTGGGAACAGGATATTTTCATATTTCAGGAAGTTGGTTTTCTTATTTCAATCATAGTTTCTCATTCAGATAACAACGAGTGTAGAATATGGAAATAAATATCCGAACCAGATATGTGGCGCTGTTTTTTTGCTGGTAGTTAGGGAATGTGTTTTTTTTTTCGAAGTCCAGGTAACTTCGCTTCAACATACATACATGTATGTTTATTCGTCTCGTAAATACACTCTTAAGGCTTTTCGAGTAGTTATAGTTCTCAAAAGTTTGAATACTTTTCAGTTCTCACAAAACTACATTCTCACAAAAGTACGTTTTCCCAAAACTTCATTCTCACAAAAGTACGTTTCCCCAAAACTACATTCTCACAAAAGTACTTTCTCGCAAAGCTACATTCTCACAAAAGTCCGTTCTCGCAAAACTAGATTCTTACAAAAGTTCGTTTACGGCTTTATGCAAAACTACATTCTCGCAAACCTACCTTCTCACAAAAGTACTTTCTTGAAAAGCTACACTCGCAAACCTACATTCTCACAAATATGCGTTTTCACAAAACTACATTCTCACAAAAGTACTTTCTCGCAAAGCTACATTCTCACAAAAGTTCGTTCTCGCAAAACTACATTCTTACAAAAGTCCGTTTACGGCTTACGCAAAACTACATTCTCGTAAAAGTATGTTCTCGCAAACCTACATACTCACAAAAGTCCGTTCTTGCAAACTTACATTCTCGCAAAACTACATATTTTTTTCACTTTGGAAGAGAGAAGAGAAGCAAAAGCAACGAGAAACGACGGCAAGAGAGGAAAAAGTCATTGCAGGAATCGTTTGAATGAATCGGTTTACCAATATATTCTCTCGTTGATGCTTCCTTCTCCGTCGGGGATATAGCTCAGTGGTAGAGCATTCGACTGCAGATCGAGAGGTCCCTGGTTCAAATCCGGGTGTCCCCTGAAATCTTTTCGCCTTTGTCGAACTTAATTTATTGCTCGAAATCGGTTATCTTAGTCTCCACAATCACGAGATGTTTATAATTTGTTGGCCGTTTGTTACGTCACAATTTCCGTTCGTCAGCTGATCGGTTTTGTTTATGAAACGTGGTGTTAATCGGTAACTAAACACCCGGGGGAACGTTTCCTCGCGCTATGATTTTAATATACGACTTGTTGCAGAAAAGTTGCTAAGACAACTTAATCACATGGCAAACCACGGCTCTCATCCGGTTACCGGTATCAGTTAATTTCGATAATCCGGGTTAATCCGATATAGCCGCTGCTTGTATGTGTTTTCTGGTTTGACGAAACAATAAATTCTCTCTCTCTCTTCATGGAGAGTAAAGTGACTAAATAGTCACTTTAGTGGAGAGTCGGTCGTCAGCCCAGTCAGAGGCGGATGGTTTTGTGATGTAGCTGTGTAGGGTCATGTTTTACTGTTGAGTTATCGGTATAGCCGGTTTTATGTACGGTACCGGTACCGCACCGTACTTTCTTCAAGGGTATTTTCTATTTTATTACGGTACGGTGCGGTACCAGTAACACTTTCAACTCGCAAAGTGTATGTTTAATCTAAAGGCCGAACGAAGTGGGTTGCTCATGCCCCGAGGGCAGTCTGGCAGTTGACTTGATTCAGTGATTAGAATTAAGACTGTCGCGTGTACGTGTAACCAGTATCGTATATGATTAAACACAGACAGACAGAGAGGCAAGAAAGGAGAGGGGATAGCCTATGTGCATTAAACTCTGTAAGATTGATAGGATAAGATAGTATTTACATATTTTTTCCGGGGGCTAGTTTTCGACATAAAAAGAGATTTAGGATAATTTTTATAATGAATTTTGTGTGAAATGCAAGTATTGTCAGATTGTTGATTTCAGTAGGATTTTTCTAATACTATTTATATTCGGGCAGAGACAAGACGGCTTTAGCATACCGGTACGACTGTACGATGAACCACGGCTTCTCGTTGGGTGACCAGTTCATGTCGTTTATCGAATCAGTTAGGATCAATGAATAAGTTTATTTTTTCCAACCAGTAAAAATAAATAAATCACACAGGCACAAATTACAAGAAAATAGTACATAGTTTCACTGCAGTACTGGGGAAGGGAAGTCACAGGGAACCAAAGCTGATTATTGAGCAACGACACCCGAATAGAATAGGATTTATATATTTATCCCGAGGGAGAAGGAAGCCGATAAGACTGCTTAATCATAAGGCGAACTACGGCCTCTTGTCTGATTACCAGTCAGGTTTGGGATTAGTTATTTGTTTTTGGAAGCATGTGCCTGATGGTGGAGGAAGCTGTAATGGATCAGCGGTTACGTGAACCACCCTACTGCGGCGAGGAGTCCAGCAATCCTCTCACACATAACTAACCCCGCAAATTCACGCAAGGTAATCAGAGGTGAGGTAGCGAGCATATTACTAAAGCTTAGAACGATGTGCCACACCGCTGATACATTGAAAGGTTATAAAATGGCTATGTCTCTACTAAATGGCTCTAACTACACTATATTCCCACCAAAAAGAGTCTGTCACTATGTCCACCGACTTAGTTCGTAATAAAATTGCCATACATTCCGGTTGGCGACTTTTGAAACAAAATCATAGCAATTCATAAAAGTTGGTTGAAAAAAATTTTCATATATGATTTTCCTTTTAGTTGTTTAAATGTTTGTCTAGTTGTTGAGTAAATTGTCTTGTCAAATGTGAAAGTATCGTCAAGGAAATTGCTCACTTATCCATAAAGACACACCTCATACACACCCCTTCACTCGACCAATCACACACACTCGTTAAATGAACGCGTACAGGATAGCATTGGATGCTGAAAATCTTCGAATTATGTTGACAACGTTGGTAAAATGGACTGCTTCTGGAGCGATGGTTTTCGGCGGCGTCGTACCATATGTCCCCCAATACAGGGACATAAAACGGTCTGAAAATGCGGAAGGATTCTCCACTTATGTCTGTCTTGTACTACTTGTTGCAAATTTGCTGAGGATATTTTTCTGGTAAGAATTTTTTAGTGTTTAATTATTGGTAAATACTGAAATCTGATTTCAGAATCACAAATATATTTATGCTGGACCAATTATTCATCTTTGCTGAATTATCACGCATATAATGTAAGAACACTATAGCATGGTTTGCAGTGCACCACTTTTAACCCTGTACTTCAAAACTATGGGGACTATCATGTGCAAGACGTTGCTAGACTCCATTATTGGCGCTCCAGAAGTGTGTGTACCAATATGGAGGTAACTAATTTTGTTCGCCTACTTTACATCACCTATGGGCATCACCTAACTGAAACCAGGAAAATCTAGTAAAATAAGTCAAAACTTGCCACTAAAACTCAAAAAGTATTGAGTTCACTAAGCATTCTAAACAATCTATCGAAGAAGGCTCGCATTCAACAATGTTTTGATTATTAAAATTTGATTTGCTCAGAATTAGGAGCTGGCATCGGAGTCTGGTGTCAAAATTCAGGTTCTCCCGTAGTTTGTGTACCAGGTTAGGGTTGGGGCATAATTTTAGTGCTTCTCCTTAATCCCTAATTTAGTACTGCTTTGAATTTGGGGACTGTCTGTGTTAGCTGAGTCAATATATCCCCTGGCCATGTCCATAGGTTTCAAGTCCCTTTACACAACTTTATGTATAGTAGGCGAACAAACTTACCGTAGTTACCTCCATATTGGTACACAGATTTCTGGAGCTCCAAAATTTGTCTCAAGCTAGAGTTTGTATTGATTGCAACCGCCCTGCTTCTGGTATCGCCATGATAAATCTCTATTTTTGAATGTTTTCCAGGTTCGGACGTCGTTTCGAATACCCTCTACTTGCTCAAAGTGTTATCATGATATTTACAATGTTGGGAATGCTGCACCTATGTGTTCGAGTTAAAAGTATGCATGATATAAGTACAAGGAGAAGAGCATTTATAGGTGAATTTGTATTGTGAATTAGTAGCTGCCATTGAAAAATATTTTGGTATAAATTTGCTCGATTAAAGACCCCAAGGACAATACTATAGCCATTTTCTGAGAGATGTGTAATACTTCACTGCCCTGGTAGCAGACTCAATAATGTATTTTCAATGTGTGTTTTTTCTTCAACTTTTCGTAACGCGCCACCATAATTTGATACTGTTTAAGAAGCCCATGGTACTTCATCGTTTGCCCAAAACTTTGCTCACAGTTGAGTCTTCTTTACTTCTGAGTGCATGCTATGCGCATCATGGCACTTTAGCGATCGCTCGTAATTATTTTTGAGTGAGTGCACATGAACTTGTTTTGAAAATTTTTTTTATGAAAAACTAAATGTAATTACCATTCCCTAATTCTGTAACCATGTCCAAAAATCCACATGCATTGTTTATGAACAACTCCCAATGTAAACATAAAATCAGCTCAAAAAGTCGGAAAAGTCTGCAATGTTAAAAGTCTGTATACCGTTTAGACTACGGGCTTCGAGACCCCCGATTCTTTGAGTTGGGAACAACACATCCACACATCCTAATAATCCATTCTCTATGATTTTCAGATTTTGACGTGAGACATTTCTGGAAGTGGAATCGCTTTTCAGATTATCTGCAAGCTGTCTTATTGTTCACTGCGATCGGAGGATATTTAACGTACTTACTAATCGATTCGTTCATATTCGTAGAAGGGATCGGATTCCTAGCTGTGTTCACGGAAGCAATGCTCGGATCGCCACAGTTTTATAGAAATTTTCAAAATAAGTCAACTGTTGGGATGAGGTTAGAAAATTTTTCAAAATAATTATAATGTTTTTTTTTTGGTGGACGGGCGCGTATTTTCACGTTTTTAACTTTTCTCTAAGTTATGCCCGTCCTCCAGGTCCTCTGTGTTTTGTGTTTGTTTATTTGTTATTGTTTTTGTTTTATACCAGAGCGACTGAAATAAAATTGTTAATCATTTTTGATTGGGCTTATGAGGTTGTGTGCGTTACGTTTCATTAGGGAATGTTGTTTTGCGATTCCAACACATTTAACACTTATCTACTAGGATGAGTTCACTAATAGCATTATGGGAGCTCAGAAGTGAAGGAGACTCAACTCGGGGCAAAGTTACACTGTGGTTCTCTATATGATTGAGTTGTCGTATTCAATCCCTTTTTCCTCGTATTCTTTGTATAAAGTGTATTTTTCAATATGGTGAAAAAATAAATATTGTTGAATACTACTGAATACATTTGGCTTTTAGTTGCTGTTCAGAACTCTTATTTCAATACTTTTTGGTATTAAATAAAACTTCTTTTCAGTGTCCAAATGGTGTTGATGTGGACAAGTGGAGATGTTTTTAAAACGGGGTATTTCATTGCAAACCAGGCTCCGGTACAATTCTGGATCTGTGGATTACTGCAAGTTGGCGTGGACATTGCAATTTTAACCCAAGTTTGGTATTATGCACGGTATCCCCAAACAGTCAAAAAAGCAGTTTCATGATCAGTTTTTCCATTTTTTTTGTTTCATAAGAGAATTTTCGTAAAGAAAGGCCACACGTACTCAACTTTTGGAATAAGAAATTCGTCTCAGAGCACTGAACTATATAGAATTATGGTGGTATGATACCCACACACTCACTCCTAGGTAAAGGAGACTCATTTCTGAACAAAGTTACCACTGAAATCGAGAGCATTACTTGCACTCACTCAGAAGTCAAGGAGACTCGTTACCAATCAAAGTGACAGTTATGGTCTTCCACCTAGATTTATGGGTCATTATGTTACTCACTTTGAAAATTTACGGACGATCAATGAAATATCATGAGTTACTGATAATATTTCGATCAACATTATGGAAACTCACTCATAAGTAAAGGAGACAAGTTAAATTACGGGCAGCAACTGAGTTCTCAAGATCATAACTCGTGCTCACACAGTAGCAAAGCAGAGATACGAATGACCGCTGAAATGACAAAAAAGCTTCCGAAACTATATTATAAGTCAGCGATCTGCAACCTGCGTCGTCGGAGCCTCACGTGGCTCTTTGTTTTCGGAGCTCTGGCTCCCGGGAATCTAAGTGGCTACAGCACTTTTTTGTTGAAACAGTGGGGATTCAATGAAAGTCGAATACTACTTACTGATTAGAGTAGATGTTGCGGGCTCTAGTAGGTTTGAGTTTGACGGAAAGGATGCCAAATGTCTCTTTTAATGGTAAAGGTCGCCAAACCGTGTTAAGAATTTTTGGTGCCTCAAATATTAGAAATAAATGATTTTTTTTTTGAGTTATGGGATTGTGAATAATATATTGCTTATAAGCCTCCATATGATAGATACTGAGAAAGTTTTTGAAATAAAAAACGAGAATCTCAAGAACTAGGTTTTTCATAACCCCCCCACCTCCCTGAGAATATATTGTGACAATCATAGTTAATCTACCTCTTCTTTATGACTAAATAGAGGTGTTGGAAACCAGATTGTGCTGGTTTGATTCTAATGGGGGATGTATTCCCCAATGGCCATAAACATTATTCCAATTGCAACATTGATCTTATCAAACTGAATATTTTAAATATAGACACATTTTATTTATTGAGCCTCATTTTTTGAAAAATGTATTAAATCGATCAGTATAGTTTACTGGAATATATATATATACGGTGTCCATAACGTTTTAGAATTTTTTTAAATTGCAAAGATAATTCATCGATTTGATATATTATTTTGACCCTCACAGACGTATTAAATGAAATGAAAATACTTAAAAAATTACTGATTAAAAACAACAAATCTGGTTAAAGATATATTGAGAACTGACTTCATAACAAAATTGAAATTGTTGAGAGACTTTTTTGTGACACCCTGTATATTTTTATGATAAAAATGGAATCTAAAAAAAGTTTGTGCTACTTTGTTATGCGATCTAAGCGACTTTAGCTGTATTCTTTGGGAATGTCTTTATCTGATTGAGCTCATGTTAAGCGAATGAAATTGCATAAGGAAGTCCGCACAAAAAGTCTTAATGAGGTGTTTTCTATTCAGCATTTTTCAGTGTTTTATTTTGAAATGTCTTAAAGGTATTGACATCAGTTTCGCCTTTTAGATCAAATGTGAATCCAGAAATTTCTCAGAGGCCAAACCAGTGAAATTTTAAGCACGTTGATAAAATTATCATTTTATGTTTATTCCCCGAAATGTTTTTCACTATTTTTATTTGTACTTAATTAAAATGTGTCAAAAAGTAGGAAATTTTTTGTGTTTATTTTTTCGCTTGTATGTTTCTTTCTGAAAGCTGATTTTAAGTGTTTATAAATGAAATAGCGTTTGGTACTTTTTATGATAATTTTTTATGTCTTTGTTGGAATTTTTCGGAATTTTTAAACTTGGGGCTGGAGAATTATGGGGTTTGATTCGGCCCAGCATAGGGGTGGGCAAGGGCAACATTAACAATTTTCAATGTGGTTTGTAAGGAATATTTACAACTTTCTCCAACAGCAGGGGACTGCACAAAATGTTTTGGCGGGCCCCATACGTCACATAATTTGCCTACCTATCATGTATTTTAGTTTTTGTTTTATTCATTTGGAGGCAACCCTACTAAAGTGCCTGGTTCTTTTCATGACCTCTCAGTCTTTATTTGCTGACAAATATATATGGGCTAGAGATGTCCAAAACTAAACGAATAGTCGAATTCAACAAACCCTTGGAATCATTCGATCTCGATGCACAGTACCAACTGATTCATTTTGATAACTCTCTGAAATTAAAATAACCGTAGTCACACACATCGGTGTCAAAATAGATTGTGAGTTTTACGTTAGCACACAACTTTATGGCCACTCTATTGCATTCTGGATTTCATGAATTATTTAAAATGCTTCAATTTAGAAACTTGTTATTTCGCACATTTTACATCTGATGGTTGGACATAGAAAAGCCTTAAATCAATCAAAATTATATTTATCTCAACTGCCCCCCCCCCTCCCAATTTTCATAAATTTCAATGGTTCATGCCACCAGCCGGTTTCCTCCATCATCAAGCTCATGCATCTGAAACAAATACCTGGCTATTCAATCCCCAACATGAATTGGTAACCGGACGAAAGAAAGGCCATGGTTCGCCATATGATTAAGCCGTCTTATCAGTCGGGATAAATATGTAAATCCTATCCAATTTCCCTTTAAATTTGACCCATTTTGGAATATTCCTACAACTACTCATACACATTTTCTTCAGAATAATGACTAATCAGATTACGGGGGCTCTCGAAGTATTCGTACCAAGATGGCGCACAACCTGTACCCGGTTAGGGTTTTTCAGGTTGTGCGTCATCTTGGTACGAATACTTCCGAAGCGACCGATTACGGCCATTCCTAGTACTGGCACCATATATGGTGGTACATGAAACAGCATTATTTAAATATGCTATGCATCAAAAGTCTATAAATTAGTTTTATAATTATCGAATTTAATAATCGCCTGTTAATTTATTAATTAGATATTAATCAGAATATATTTGTTTGATATCAGTGTCTTCGTGCGGTCAAGGGAGAGGATAGCATTGACATTTATAGGTTAGGATTTAAACCAACGGTTTTCGTGAACCCACCATATAGCGCCGAATAGTTTAGCAATTCTCTCGCACATGAAATTCCTTCTCAGAATGTGGGCCCATCGGTTATCAGAGGTGCTCAACGCTTAGCATGATGCGCCACAGTCCACACAGCCATGGTACCCAAAAAATGGAGACACAAGAGGGACAAAATGTCTACATCATAAGGCTAATCACTGCTTTTCGATGTTAGACAGTTCGGGTTGGCTACGGTAGCCGACACAGAAAATGATAAGACTTATATCAGGGTGGTCCAAACCCAGGCCCGCGAGCCACATGTGGCCCTCCGGTTCATTTTTTGTGGCCCGCGTAGCATTTGCGCGAGTGTAAAAGAAACGGTATAGGGCAGGCGCAGAGAGTGTTTCAGTAGTCTATATTCTACGAGACTATCCGTATCTCCCATTCTTTCATGAGTAATTGCGTGGGTACCGGTACGGTCAGACGGTACCGTACCGGCATCGCACGAGTGTTCAGACAACTGAGCAGTTAAGCAGCATTTTTCAATTCAATTACCTTCTACACGTAAAACAAATTTTCGTATTCAATTCTATATTCTCTTATCATTATTATAAATATATTGCTTGTGGTTGAACTTGTAGCATGGAGAATTTATAGAACATTTTCGTTTTGAATTTATTGGATATTGCTCATGAAAATCAGTAGTGAGTTAGAAACCCAGGAAACAGGCGCGGCGGTGTGGCTCAACGGGCTAAGCGTTAGGAATACGCTCGCCACCACACCTCTAATTACTCTGCGTGGGTTCGCAGGTTCGACTCCCATGCAGGGATGGTTATGTGCGAGAGGATTGCTGGACTCCGTCGTTGGGTGGTACGGCTTCCTCCACCACCAAGTCCATGCTTCCGAAAACAAACAATACAGTAAAACTAATCCCATACCCGACTTGGAATGGTAACCGGACGAGAGGCCGTGGTTCGCCATATGGATAGGCCGTCTTATCGGCTTTCCTCTCCCCCGGGATAAATATGTGAATCCTATCCTAAACACATTTGTGCGTGTAGGATTAAGCCTGACAACGTTGGTCCCAAGCAGCATCAAATTTTCTAAAAATAAAAACGCGTGACAACGATGGGCCACGAGGCGGACCATCGTTGTCAACCTTTTTATTTTCTTTTTATCCATTTTTTTTTTAATTTTTTTTTTTTTTTTCGTTTCTATTTTTTAATTTTTTTTTTTAATTTTAATTTTTTTTTTTCTCTTTTTTTCCAATTATTTTTATGCTTTTTCACAACTTTTTTTTTTAATTTCGCTCTTTCATTTTATTTTTTCTTTTTTTTTTAAATTTTACACGTGACAATAGCGACTTTATTCCCGCGCCTTTGTTGTTACAAAGAAGGCGAGGAAAGGGTTGACTATTTATCCAGCAAAGAGGAGAGGGAGATTGAATAGTTCGTCAATCAAAAAATACAGTCATCAATGCAATGAAGAAGTAACAACAATAAAATTGCTTTGGTATGGACAGGGAGGGAGCGATACAACAAGTGGTGGGATTCAAATTTTTTGTCAGCCGGTTCTATCACACAAATTTCATATTTTTCAGTCGGTTCTGTTACAAAAAATCATGTTTTTTTCAGTAATGCTAACCAGTTCGCTGGTCTCATAAAATTCCATGAGACGGTTCTATAGAACCGGTGCGAACCGGCTGAATCCCACTACGGGCTACGGCACTCACAATTGGATACCGGTACACCCGGTCAACCATACCGTCATCGAGATCAACTCCAGAACTCCCATCATAAGTTTATTTCAACTCCATTATCAGCATAACAGTAAAATGATTGATAAATACAAATAAATAAATACTGATTATCAAATCAGTAAACCATTTTCGTTTGTAGGAATGAGATTCAAATTTGAAGATGACTTAAACCAGTAATATTTTTACATGATTTAGAAACAACAAATTATATCAATGTCTGAATGTTACATGCGGGTGTAAGAGATTGGGGCTTAAGCTAATCTCCATAACTGGAGAGTTTATAAGATGTTTCAGATATCACAAATCAGTGGAAGCTTGCTTCAGTGCTTAGAGCCTTCTTTGCGGTGAAAAAAGATTATACAATTATAAGAACAACTGTTGTTGAAACTGTCTATCAAAATGTTTATTTCATGTTCAGATGTTAGAACCAGTGGTAGGAAGTTTCTTGTCTTTATCAGAGTTCAACAGCCGGAAGTTTGAAACATTTGTATAATTTTTGTTTGTTTATTTCTGGCCCAAGCCTTGTTACTTATCGATAGGTATTTGTCTGTCTGTCTGTTAGATACACGCGATATCTCACGAAAGCGAGGTTGAATCTGCTCCAAATTTTGCATGTGCATCCATCATAGCTCGGATCAAAATCCTATTGATTTTCGATGAATTATGTCGTATAATTGGTGAGTTATTTATTAATTAGTGATGGGACACACGGTGTCACTATGGAGTGAGAGCGCTGTGATCCCCTAACCTTCGATCGATAAGTCTTCGGTTATATCTCGTTTTAATAGGTTTGTGATTTTTTTTGTGTGTGTTGGTGAGCAGGAACATGATATTTCACATGTTTCCAACTTTTTACAGGTTTGGCTTTCTCTCAAGAATTCTCCATTTTTATTAGTTTAGGCCTATATATTATGGTGTTTTCAAAATAAACTATCTATCTATCAAAGTCTAAAAGTGAAACGACCATCTTAAAAATGGATCCAAAACTTGTTGAACTTGCTCTTGAATGCTTCCGAAACAAGCCAAGGGTTAAAATTAGAAAATTGAATATTTCTGGAAATGATTTTATTAAAGTAAAAAATGATTCTACAAGTGACAAAAATTATGTTCAAGTCAATGTAACACAATCACAGAAAGGGAAAGATGTTAAAATTGAGAAGCAAAAGAAGGGTCAAAATTCTGGTACAGGAGGGAGTAATGATAATGTGGCAACACTGACCGTATCTAATGGTAACAGGAATCAAAAAACAACAAAAAAGATAACGAACGATCTTGGAGGAAATGAATCAGAACGTGGTTGCAAAGTTTGTGGCAAAATTTACGAGACAGAATGCAGCTTAAGGAAGCATTCATGGACACACACGAAAGGAAAACCATATTCGTGTGATATATGTGGCGCCAAAGTTACAACTAAGAACAGCTTAAGAAAACATATGCGAATCATGCACTCAGAGATAAGAGTAAAATGTGATTTATGTGATAAGGAATACAAAGAGATATCTACGTTGAAAGCTCACAAACGAGCTGTGCATGAGAACAATAAAAAGCATAAATGTACCATTTGTGACAAGACATTTCTCTTTCTAAGTGCTTTGAAAGTCCATATGGACACTCACTCAAACCTGCGTAAGTATAAGTGCCACATTGAGGGGTGCAATAAAGCTTACTTAATGAAAAAAGCACTTTCTCACCATCTACTGGTTCATTATAACATTCGCCGATTTGTTTGTGATATTTGCGGAAAGAACTTCATTATTAATGCACATTTGAAACTCCATATGAGAGTACATAGCGGAGAAAAACCATACAAATGTAAATATTGTGGGAGAGCTTTTGCATATAAAGCATTTCTCGTTAACCATACACGCGTACACACCGGTGAGCGTCCTTTTAAATGTAAGGATTGTGGCATGGATTTCAAATATGCAATAGCATATACATACCATAAAAGAAAAAATCACCCAAGTGAAACACAGCCAACATTTGCCTGTTTGATTTGCTCTAAATCTTTTCGGGACGATTCATCTCTAGCACGACATATGTTAGTTCACACGAATGAAACTCCTTACAAATGTGAGACATGTGGACGCGGTTTTAAACTAGAACAAAACTTAAAACGACATTACATAGTTCACACGGGAGAAAAACGATACAAATGCACGATCTGTGAAGCAGAGTATGGGTATCCAAACTCGTTAAAACAACACATAATTGGCGTACATTTGGGAAAAAGAGACTATAAGTGTGAAATATGTGCGAAAACTTTTGCTCGCAGTCAAACACTTGCTAGTCACCTATATATGCACAAAGGCGAAAAGAAATTTCCATGCAAAAAATGCGGCCGTAAGTTTCGATCCAAAATCATGGCAGCTGTTCATATGCGAACTCACACAAAAGAAAAACCATTTGAATGTGACATATGTGGGGACAGATTCGCTCATTCAAGCAGTCGTGATATGCATTTGAGACTGCATACAGGTGAAAGACATTACAAATGTAAAAAATGTCCTGAGTCATTTATGCACAGATATCAACTCTTGAAACACAATGGCTCCCAATGCAGATTCAAAGTTCTTCCAAATGAAAACGATCCAAGGATTGTGCGCTAAGTTATGTCAAGTGATGAGAAATTGATTGTTGTAAACTGCTTGTCTGAGGAAGTCTAACTTTGGTCAGACGAAACGTTACAGAAGTACATTTGTGTTAGTGTGCAGCTGGACTCTTTAATTGGATAGTCATGTTTATTCCGGTGACAGCATCCTTGCAGTATACACATATCCACTAGCATCAGTATTATTAACCTGGTGCTTTTATTGAAAGATGCCATGGGCGAAGAGATATGGCCAATGCTGTACATTGTACTGTAGTGTAATCTGTACTGTATCTGCTGTACTGTAGTGTAATCTACGTTCCGAATACCTGCTAGAATGTTATTCCCAGAGTCAAATATGGCACAATATTAGCTGATACCAAAGGGATGAGAGAAATTAAAGGGTTCGAAGGTGCCATGAGCTAGTAATTGTCATCTTGCTTTTGCATGTTAACGATCATCTCTTAATCTTACTGTGTAGGAATGGGAAAAGATAAAAAAAAAATTGTAGTAGTAACGCCATTAGTATCTGAGAACTAAAACATTGTTCAGAGCAAACAAAATAGCAGCCTCATGGCTGCTTATCTGAGGCCTTCTTCGGGGTAATAACATAGACACTATCGTTGGAGTCTAGAGCTGGCCGTTGCTGCCACAGCCCAACTCAAATTTTGAAATCAGCATTATTTTGATGTGTTTGTATTCAGTGATGCGTATATAAATGACATGATGTCGCTAATAGGCTATCTAATTTTGGAAGAATCATATGGCTGTTCCTGTTGTCAATTTATTGTGGTGTTGTTTTCCCATGATTGTGTGATTTAGAGATAATTTTTTTATCAGATTGCTATATTTGCTGCTATATTACAGCATATCGCTGACTGGATGACTCACTGAGTCTATCGCGATCCCATGTTAATTGCTATGAATCAATGTTTCGTTTTTTTAGTTTACTGTGTTTTTCTTTTGCTTTATATTGAATCTTGCATGATGAAAAGTAAATATCTGAATCTGATGTTACAGCTAAAAAATACCTCAAGGAATTTGTTGAGTTTCAGCAAGAGGCGCATTGTTTTCCACTTTCTTTTTTATAAAACCGTAAATTTTGTATTTGAAATGTAACTTTCATGCTACACTCACATCTGATTCAATACTCCCGAATTTTAATAAAATGTTTGCATTTCCATCTTTTTTCCTAGATTTCCTGTTAAGTTTTGACACGTACATTGAGAAAGAAATTTCTTTTTTAAGGTTTTCCCAAAATCGGGTTTTTGTCATATTAAACAGCCTAAAACTCAAAACATAGTTTTTTGTGCTGTTTTTTTAGTGTTGGTGCTGTTTTTTTAGTGTTTTTGATATTCCAGAGACAGGGTTCTTTGTATTGCACCTATGGATCGCTTTGTTATTATGGGTTCCGTTACATTTGAACCCATGTACATTTGAACCCACGACAATTGCACCTGCATACTATTGCACCTATGGAAATTACACCTACGGATATAATTTCACACAATAGCGCTTATGAAAGTGGCCGCATTTTATGCCAGACTCTCTATTTTCCCAGTGCAAACTATGATAAACAACTCAAGTTTAAACAAAGGTTTTCTACATTTATCTTTTACAAATCTTGGTTGGTTTCTGGCAAGTTTATATCCCGAACAAATCTTTACGTGTTTCGTGAGACTTAGTGTAAAAACATATCAATTCAGCGACCCATACCCTATCTCCATCTTTCCACACTGGAACCTGGGATATGGACGTGCTATAAACTGACTATTGTACATATCGCCGTTGTGCCGTACCTATTTGTCTTGTGTATTTTACTAGAGTTTTATTGGTATAGTCAATTTCATGTCTGTTGTCCTAGTATAACGCAGCAGTCCTAAACTGCTGTTATCATTGTTAGGGGTACATGTCGCACATCTGTGTCTTAGGCCAGTAAGGTCTTGAACATGTACCCCGTCTCTCTTATACCGTTTAATTATTATGCAGATACTGTTACATTCTTGAGGCAAATAAACATACATACATACATACATATTTGAACCCATACTAACCCCATCCCATGGATTTTAGCTCCCGCATATAGATTGAACCCGTGGATATACTGGTGCGAATGTATGGGTTCAAATGTGCTGTCACTTTATTATGTTGTTGTTATAAAAAAAAAATTCCATTGAACCAACTTTTCAATGGTAAAAGCTTTTACTTTTATTTTGTGTAAAACTGTCATTAGTTTCAACTCTTTGAGTGTTTTTGATTTGTTTTTCGTGTAAAAAATCGTTAAGTAGCAATACAAACCCATTTTAATTTAATCTGTGCACAACTGGAACTGCCTCAATAATTTCATGTTCAACTTCTTTATTACTGTCGCTGCTTAATAATTGGTACTGTTTTACTGCGTCTCCTTGAACTCTGAATTGCAATTATTTCATATTTCTCCACTTACAATTTATGTTTTTATCAAGGTAATTACTGGTTCACTAAATTCCAGAGCTCACTGTAAATACCTCAACTCCTGGCTTCTGCACCTAATCATGCAATTGATATGCTTTTAATCTAATTTGTATGTTATGGTTTTGTGATGTTGCCTAGTTTTTAGTTGTCACGTTTATTCAAGTCACCATACTTAAATTGCACTATATTTGGACCTTTTCCAGTTTCCATGTCACTATATATTTTTTGATCAAGTTAGGAATTGTTGTTACTTATCGATCTTAAGATCGTTAAGTATGTTGATAGGTGTTTGTCTGTTAGATACACGCTATATCTCACGAAAGCGAGGATGAATCCGCTCCAAATTTTGCATATGCATTCATCATATCTCGGATCCAAAGCTTATCGATTTTGGATGAATTATGTCGTATAATTAGCGAGTTATTAATTAATTAGTGATGGGACACAAGGTGTCACTATGGAGTAAGAGCGCTGTTTTGGGGGATTCCCTAACTTTCGATGATAAGTCTTATCTTTATTTTTTGGAATGAAAAATTGAGTTGACAAAAATTCCCCCTCCTTGGAAAGTTACGTATGTAGGAGTTTAATGGAGTAATGACCAATCTTTTTGTAAGTCCACTCATTTTTATTTTATCGATATCCATCTTTTTCGTTACACTGGTATTTTTTCTGTATAAATCATTGTTCGTAGGTACAGTTGTAATAAATATTGAAAAAGGTATGTGTGCACCATGATCTTTATGTGCAACTGCTGAGGTGGAGTTTCAGTGTTGGGATTTACATATTTATCCCGGGGGAGAGAAAAGCCGATAAGACGGCTTAATCATGTGGCGAACCACGGCCTCTCATCCGGTCACCAGTCCAGGTCGGGTATGGGATTAGTTAGCCAGTTATTTGTTTTCGGAAGCATGGAATTGATGGTGGACGAAGCCGTAAACAACCAGTGGTTACGTGAACTACCCTAAGGCGGCATGGAGTCGAGCAATCCTCTCGCACATGATCATCCCCACATGGGATTCGAACCCACGAAAGGTAATCAGAGATGCAGTGGCCGGCGTATTCCTAACGCTTAGCACAATGCGCCAAACCGCCGATTGGTTCTGACGGGTAATGATTTGCACGCATGTTCCAATGAACGAGATAGGAAGGCTCAAATATAGCAGCGCCACAAGCTCGCAAATACACCTATGGGGGGGAAACGATAAGCAGCGAGATTGCTGAAGTGATCGACGAGAGGGAGAGATTTCTTATTTCGTCAACTTATAAAATAGTCATCAATTAAATAGCAGCAGCAATAAAATTGTTTTTGCGAGGACATGAATTTACGAAAGTTATAAAGAATGTCCATGATTAATACAGTCAGTAAATTAATGGGTTTTATAGTGCTCGAATGGACAATGACCGGTGACCGCACTGACGCTTGAATAAATCTTGAAAGTTTTAACCTTGCATTTGCGTATTCTCGATTTTCCCATTGTCTTGCACGTTTGAATTGTATTTATTTTTGCATTAATCTTTCTAGATTGGTCTCCGAAAAATTTCGGTTTTCAAAGGTATAGCAACTTGTTGCATATCAGTGGAAGCTTGTACAGGGCCTTATTCGAAGCGAAAAATGTCGCAAAATTTTTTGTGTAAGCGTAAATATATACTACTACGTATAAGTACAAATACCAAATGCATAACAAGGCAGAAAACTGCTGTAATTTGGAATGATGTTTTGAAACGCACAAGCACGCGTTCACCCACCGACAGTTCACTTACTCGAAAACAAATTTTGGTAACTTTACTAAATTGCTGTCTTGTTTATTTGTCTTGTCTGTTGCAATTTTATTTTTGTACCATAGTTCAGAAAATATATATCTTATCCGAATCTCGCATCAATCCTTGTTCACCGACGTTTGGCATTGCACCATCGTAGTTCTATATGATTTTTAGTGGCTCTTGGCATTTCATTGATGGCCTGTAACATTTCTCAGAGGCAAGTCTACTCTATATTAGAGGAAGATGCGCCTGGACAAGCTTTGAGTAATTTTTAAAAAAAAAACTAAACAAACTAAATTCGTTTGTAATGAACATTTCGCATAGGAAAATATTTTTTTTCTAAAAGTTTGAAATTTCTGATTCGTGAATGAAAAACGCTTTTGTAATCTTTTTCATAATTTATCTTTAATAAAATTAAGCAAATTAAATTAATTTAAATAAATATTTCGATTCTTATTCTTAAAAAACGATTTTTTTTTACTAAATCCAAAATCACTGATGCGTGAGAAAAAAGCTTTTGTTCCTTTTCGTAATCCTTCTTGGATTTTCGTTTGAGCGTTGAACGTTCGTTTTTTGTGTGAAACAGAATTCCGTTTGTTAAATTTGTGAAAATGTCTGATACTAGCGACCTAGATAGACAAATAGAGCAACTTCAAAGATGTGAAATTATTAAAGAAAGCGAAGTAAAAGCTTTATGCGCCAAAGCGCGTGAAATTTTAGTCGAAGAAAGCAATGTTCAGAGGGTGGATTCACCGGTAACCGTGTGCGGAGATATTCACGGTCAGTTTTATGATTTAAAAGAGCTTTTTAAAGTCGGTGGGGATGTTCCGAACACGAATTATCTATTTCTCGGTGATTTTGTGGACAGAGGTTTCTACAGTGTTGAGACGTTTTTACTTCTATTGGCTTTGAAGGTCCGTTATCCAGATCGTATTGTCCTGATTCGAGGAAACCATGAAAGTCGACAGATCACCCAGGTTTATGGTTTTTACGATGAATGTTTAAGAAAATATGGATCAATCACTGTTTGGCGCTATTGTACTGAAATTTTCGACTACTTAAGTTTGTCCGCGATTATCGATGGAAAAATCTTTTGCGTCCATGGTGGGTTATCTCCATCAATCCAAACGCTAGACCAGATTCGTACTATCGATCGCAAACAAGAAGTACCACACGATGGCCCAATGTGCGATCTACTATGGTCAGATCCAGAAGACACCACCGGGTGGGGTGTCAGTCCACGAGGAGCTGGATATCTTTTCGGAAGCGACGTTGTTTCGTTGTTTAATCAATCCAATGATATTGATATGATCTGCCGTGCTCATCAGCTCGTAATGGAAGGGTATAAATGGCATTTCAACGAAACCGTTTTAACTGTCTGGTCGGCTCCGAACTACTGCTACCGCTGCGGAAACGTAGCTGCCATTTTGGAACTTGACGAACATTTACAGAAAGAATTTACAATATTCGAAGCCGCACCACAAGAGGCAAGAGGAGTTCCGATGAAGAAACCGCAAGCGGACTATTTTCTCTGAGATAATATTCTATTGTTTTATTCACTTGTTCAAAACTTTTATCTCCTCAAGTCTCTGATTGAGTACATGGTGAATCTAATGGAATAATAACCTATGGGTTTGTTCTTGATTGCTATTCTGAGTCTCTGTATTCTATTCTGCTGTTGTTCCACAATAACTTCTAGTGGGTGTAGCGTAACAATTTTTGCAAATGACATTCCTAACTCCTACCTGACCACGTCTTTCAAAAATTACATCACTACGACTTCACAGTGACGTAATAAGGCCCACCAAAATATACGGATGGTCGTCCAAAACGCGTTAACTATTACCTGAAGTCTAGCAATCTATTTCGCTCATCTCCGAATATGATAGAGATCACTTGTGTTAGTGCCGATGCCATTTTGGAACTAATTTTTTAGTGACATAATTTTTGAATGATATAGTCAGGTAGGGGTTAGGAATAACAGATGCAAAAATGGTTATGACAAGCCCACCAGAAGTACTTGTGATACTAAACTACACCGACCCACTATTCTGTTGTCGCCTGATCAGTTTCCTTTTATATTCTTCAACTCACTAATTGAGAAGAAGGTTATCCTTGCGGATTTGTGGCCTCATTTATTTTAGTATACCATGATATTCTTATTTGACAGCTGCTATGAATTGTACTTCTTAATAAACTGTGTGTCACAATAAATTTCAATGAGTCTCGAAATATCAATCCATCATTTTTTGAAAGGCACTTCTTATCTGCCGAGTTTGAAATGTGAAATCTAGTTTGTTGAATTAATGTTGCGAAAATTATAATTGTTTCTGTATCTAAGATGCTATTTTTCTGTTTTATTCATGTGTTCAGAACTTTTTTAACTCCATTTCTCAGTGAAATCTCTGAATAATATGAACTTGTGGTCCAGGGGTGTGCAACATTTTTTGTTGGTGATGGGAAGTTAAAGTTTAACATTCCATATCCACCACCTCCTCCGGGATGTAATAAATCTCTATCAGTACTGAAATAACCCAAAAATATTCCTTTCTCACAAAGGGTACTTTTGTGGACAGTTTTATCCTAGGAAAAGTATATTTCAGTGGCCGCTTGTACATGACCGTGTTCAGAGAGAAAAGACATAGAAATCGCTGCGCAAAATGAAGTCTCGAATGGTCCCTTTTCATGGAGGCCATAAATGTTTTTTCATTCCTTAAAACTTTATTTTCAATTCTTACATTATTTTTTTGCTTGGAGAATTCTTTTCATGCTTGAGTGTTTTTGTGCTGTCATTTCAATTTGCTTTAGTATTGTTGACCTCACAATTTTCTTTTATAAAATTTATTGTCGCTTCATAATCGCAGTGCTTTTTTTGTGATGTGATAATATAATTTTATGCTATGCCCTCAACTTGTAATGTTCATATCAATCAGACCTATTTGAACAGTTTAACATTACTGACTTGGCGGCTTTAACCCTAAAGGGCGGGACCCCCACTTATAATAATACTCAAAGGCTTTATAATGATCAACTGCAGAGGTTTTTACAGCATAATATTGAATAATTTATGATCTGTACCGTGTTCTGCAGTATTCTGTTCACCCAACCGTGAAGGATTCTGCCACTATTTCCCCTAATTTAGGCCTGTTATTTTATGTATTATAAAGTGTAATTTATGCCAATTGAAAATTTGTATGTTTTCTTTTAAATATAGATGTCTAAAATGAGAAGTTTAAAAGCTAGCTAGACTATTTCGAAAGGAAATTTTTGACAACTGGAACACTCAATTATTACCGGTAATCAAAATATTGCAAAAGGGAACACTTTGATTTTTCCGATTGGAATATTTCGAAAAGTGCAGAATGACATCACAGGTGACCGACCCCGTTGAAGAACTTGTCTTTTTACGGCAAATGGTCCAGAGATTGAACTCTGCTCTTGCAAAACACCAAGGAACAGACCATAGCCTGGTAGGTCGCCTGACAGAAACACCATACATCAAATTGTGGAATTGTAGGGTCAGAATAGTGGTGGGCAAACTGGGGCCAAATGCGGCCCACAAACAATTATTTGTAGCTCTTGAACGACCGCACTGTTAATGCATAACAACAAAAATTATCGTACGGTGTTTGTTTTATAGTAATTAGCATAAACGAAAACACATGTCAGTTGTTTGTCCCTTGAATGTCGAATGTTCCTATCATTAGTTTAAAGTAAAATAGGAATACGCCTTGGAAAATACTCTTGGACATAATTGTTCTTTGCCTGTTTTGTTACACTGGCAGTAGATTTGAGAGCTTACAAGTGATGACTGAGATTTATTTTGGAAGGACAAGTTTCAAAAGAATATGATTTAAATTTAGAGATGGATTTCCAATATGAACAATATTAAAATTTTTCAATACGTCTCGAACATCTTTATGCGAATCTGATCCCTTATTTTCTTTACAGTTAGATGCAGAAGCGTCCATTGACCCTCCGGCACCTTGGCTGACGAACCCACAACATTTGGCTCCGTTACTGAACGAATATGACACTCATCTAACACATCTCGTGTCCCAAGTTACGAAGATAAAAGATGAAAACCATGAAAGGAAATTGCGATTGCAGGTGTGTGTTTTTATATGTGTACGTGTCTTCATGTGTGTTTGCATGGGAGTGTGTTATGTAGGTTTTATATTGAGCATGCTTACATTTTTACTGGGACTTAATTAGGTATGTCCAGAATCAATTGATTATTTCAAAACATTCAAAATTGGTTATATTCAGTTTACTTTTTGACTTTATGAAGAATTTAGAATATTTTCATTGGAAATATTTTAGCATTTATTTTTTTACAATTGACGGAAAATTAGTTAAATCCTCAAGGAATAAAATAGATAATACTAATTAGAACAATGTTACCTCTACCATTCTGCTTTAACAAATTTGATTTCTACGCCTTTCTACGGTTTTGGCCATCCCTGATATCTTCAGTTATTTTTCAGTCTGTCTCCGAAGAAAATCAACGTCTTCATGCAGAATTGCAGGAAATTGTTCAACAACAAATGAAAGAAGCTGATTATACAGGTGAGCATGGAGATCTAGTGTAGTTGTTTTTAAATCCCTCTGCCACTCACTTCTGCTCTTCAAAAAAAAAATATCTAGTTATGCTTTGCTCGTCATGTTTAATAATGAAAAAGACAAATGAAAGCAAAATAATAAATGCATTGCAGTCAAAAAATCAAATGAATCACAGTAAATTTCTTCAAATTAATGATGTTGTAGTAAATGGTCGTAAGTTATTTAACGCGAAATATTCAATACAAAAAAAGCAACAAACGAAAGCAAGAATAAATATACCATCACTGTAAATTTACTTCAACAAATAGATGTAGGCACTGCACTGGTAATGATATTTAGCAAAGATCATTGCTCCTAGCTCCCATAGATCTACTCTGTGGCCCCTAGAGAGGGGTTGGGGCCAGTTTGAGTAACCTTCCTCTGGAGCAGAGCTGGGTAATTATCTTTGCTATGGGTCCACATCGCAAAATTAAAATGCAGTCGTGGGCTGGACTAAGTAAAGTCAAAGTTTGTGGTACACAACTTGCACAGGCCTTCCTTATAGTGTATGAAGAATGCACAAATTTAATTTTTGCCGTCTTTTCAGATCACCCACAAGGCCAAGGTAATGAAATGCTTGAGAACCTTCAACGACAGATAGAATTGGCGAGTGCTGAGAAAGAGGACGCTGTGAGAATGTGTCGCGATACAATGCAACAGCTAGACAAGTATGGTTTTTAAAAAATATGTTCACCACAAACTTTTGAGACAAAGTAAAAAAAAAAATATTGATTAGTATGTTGTTTAAGAGGTTCCCGAACTAATAAAAATCACAGCATACTACTTTTTTATGATTACAAATCGCAAGAAATTGAAAACAAATTCACTTTATTAAGATTGATTCACAATAAAAATTGGTTTTATAATACATGCAAACTGGTTTAGGGCGATACATGAGCTTGCTTTGTGCAAAATTTCACACAAATAATTTTTATTCTCTCATTTCCTACAGACTCCGACACCAACGACAAACAGAGTCGGCATCAGTGAAATCTCGTTTGCAATCTTACGATGACACAAGGAAACTCAACGAGCAACTTCAGGATGCAAACCTTAATTTGCAGATGTCATTGGATACGATCAGGAATGAGAATCAGGCTCTAACAGGTGCACTACATCAGCAGGTAGGTGGTTATTCAATCGGCGTAATCCAGAGTGAAGAGTGAAATGCTCTTGAGATTACCCTGCATGGTTTTGATTCCTGTTTGGGATAGTTATATGCAAGACGTTGCTAGACTTTTCACACTGACATAGGGTGGTGCACATAATTGCTAATTTGTTATGGCTTATGACCCATTTTCAAATATAAATACTTATTCAGAGGCATTGTATTATACCAGCAGTGTGCAACAGGCAACAAACTGGACCGCCAAATTATTTAGTGTTGGCTGTGTGGCCCTGGTCACACTCAAATTTATCTCCATCAACCATAAAATCCCAATTTGACAGTTTATGCTTAAAAAGGTGCCCCCATGAGTAACAAACATAGATAGTGTTTTTTGCTCTTGTGGCTGCGTTAAATCTTACGCCGTTTTGCCCGGAGCATTTATTACTGGAAGTTTAAGTGATAGCTGCACGCGACACTCTGCTATGTGGCTAATTTTCTGTTTCATTGTGTTCATGGAAAATCTATTTTTTTTGTGTGGCTTATCTAGATGTCTGAAGTTGGTTATATGACCCATGAACAAAAAAATGTTGCACATCCCTGTTTTTCAATGTATTCAGAATGGTAGATATTCATTTTGACCATTCTTGATCTTTGGTTTTCACTCTTCATTATTTCACAACTATATCATTTCTATAGGAGAACGACCTTCAAGAAACTCGAGAAAATCTCAAGGTCACAAAGACGGAATTTCACAAAAACAAGGTCGAATTAGGAGAAAAGAATCAACTAATCGAAACTTTGACTGTTCAGCTCGAAGCTCTGGTATTTTTTTTTTCATTCAATTTGTTAACCTTTTATATTTTCATATCAATTTCTCATCTTCCTATTGTTTACTGGTGTAATATAATGTTTTATTGAAACAAGCAATACTTCTTAAACATAAACAGTTCAGTTGTCACCACAAATACCAGAATATAAAGTCAGACATAAGACACATGTTGCCTCTGCTACACCAAAGTACTGAATGACCTCTGGAGACCAGCATGGCAGTATTTATGCCTCGTAAGCATGCTGCAGTGGTTTTACATATGATGCCGTTCTGTTATTGGTTTGCTCATTTGCTCACTTATTTTTTCCATATTCTCAGCAAAACGACAACGGAGAAAAACATCGACGACAACTCGCAACTCAGAACGTCACAGAAAAGCTTCAACAAGAATTAACCGATGCAGAAGGGAAACTTGCTCAAGCATTGCAGGATCGGACAAACGCTGTCTCGGAAATTGATTCGCTGAAAATCGAAATCGTTGCGTTAGAAAAAATGAACAAAGAAATGGAACAGAAAGAACTAAATAACTTAGAACAGGTATAACAGGGTTGGGCAAAATTTTTCAGTACAGGAGCCCATGCAGCAAGTCCGAAATATGTGAGAGCCGCATAATTTTTAAAATTGATAATATCAGTATACCTGAACTGAGAATAACTTTACACAAACGTATACTAACAATATTGTAAAGTATATAATCTTCAACTTCTTAATGAATTAGAAAAAAACTGTTACGCTACAGTTTCTCTTAGTTATTAAATTTGGATAATATATAATCATTGCTAGCGAGGAGAGCCGCATAAAAAAACACTGGTGAGCCGCGGTTTGCCCACCGTTGAGGTAAAATGTGAAGAGAATGATCTTTATTTGCTCAACACAAGGCTCTGCTTAAGCAGCCATTGATATGCAGAGCAGGCGCGTAACCAGTCCATGTTGCAGGGTAACCAGAGGTTCGGTGACGAGTGTATTCCTGACGCTTAGCACGATGCGCCACACCGCCGAACCAAAATTGGAGAGGCAATGTAGAACAGGAGAGCGATCACAGTTTGCAGAACCTATGAAATAGGCTAGTCGGTTACGACTTCCTCTACCGTCAAGTCCATGCTTCCGAAAAACAAGTAACTAACTAATCCCATACCTGACATGGAATGGTAACCGGACAAGAGGCCGTGGTTCGCCATATGGATAAGCTGCCTTATCAGCTTTCCTCTCCCCCGAGATAAATATGTAAATCCTATCCTAATAGGTAGTGAATTACTAGAGTTTTGTTGCGAAATTAAAATTTTAAATTGCAAAAATTAGACACCATCCTTAAATTACAGCGCTCTGGTTGATAGACATGAACCCGGCAACTAAAGTCTTTACTAATATATTACAGATTCGCGAGCACACTCAGATGGTCGAGAATGCGTTACTAGCGCGCGACAGTGCGATGGAGCGGGAGAGAAATAAGCAAGAGGAAGTGGACCGTATCCGTGTTGCTATGGAAACCCTGGTTGAGGAAGCAGCAGAAAGGGTTAAGAATGAGGTCAACAGGGTCAAGGGTCAATACAACAGTAATATTCAACGACTAATGGAGGAAATGCAGGTAAAGTCATTTAGCTCAGTGTTTCTCAACTCAAGGGTCGTGATCCAAAACTGTGTCGCCTGAACATTTTTTTGGGTTGCTTGCTTTTTTCTCCTTAGGGATAAATATGAAAGTTGTGTGGCTAAACAACGCACAGAATCTTCTGAGGGTTTTACCAACGCAACAACTGGTAACTTTAACTAACTGGTAATTTTCAAACTTCAAATTTTTTTTTAATTATTCAGTCCACAGAGCTTGAGAATCACAACCTACGCAGCGATGCTGATCGTTCGAAACGAGCGAAACGCGCAGTGGAAGAAGAGTTCGATAAATATCAACAACAACAACGAGAAAATTTCAGCAACCGCAAATGGGAGGATATTCATGCCAGGATGCTGATTGCTGAGAGAGCGAAAGATGATGCTTTAGTCACTGTGCAGGTAAAACCTGGCGGATTGTGGTCCCCAAACTTTCAATTATCGTTACCCTTATTAAATCGAATCACCAAAGCCAAATTATCCCTTCATAATAGCAGTAATAATAGCATAAGAACCAATGGTTTCCAAAATTGGGTTAATTACCCCCAAAGAGGTAATTTAGCAATTTTTTGGGGAGAAATCAAGACAATTTTTTTGTAGTCACCCTACTTTTGACTAGCCTGGAGAAAAGCTGGACATTCAATGCTCGCATCTAGTCAGATTGTAGGCTAAAATGCTGAGCTGGCGCAAGTTTAGCATCTTGAAGTCGTATTGGAAGATGCAATAGGTGTTAGTATCATCACTAGTTTTGGTCAAATTAATAGCAATATGACTGCCGTATTTTATGAAAGGAGTAACTGAGCTTTTGGTAATTCGATAAAACCTCTGCGGATAAACAGAAGAACAATATCCCGATTCCTACTTAGTGAGAAGGGTGGCACTGTTCGGCAAAATAGATGACAGACAGCATTTTATATCATCGTCAATCATAAGAAAAAAAATTGATAGGACGGTGAACAGGTGAATTACCCCCAAAAAGTTGTCAAATTGCCCCCAGTTTGCGAAGCACTTACTGTTAGGATTCTAACTGAGCTGGATCATGTTACCACGCAAAAACATCCAAAATTAAATTTAAAATCAGGAATTCAAAATATGAAATATAGTTATTTATGATATTATTTAAATATACAAAGATGTTTTTGTAGCTTGTAACTTTACATTTTTGTGTTGCCTTGGGTGATGATGATGCGTAGAGAGCTTTATAAGGGCAAAAGTACCTAAAAACATGAGGACCACTGTTCTAAACAAAATCAGGATGTCCATAGAGTTCCTTTACAATTTCAATTTTGTTGAGAAGTCAGTTCTCAATATATCTTAACCAGGTTTGTTGTTTTTCAATCAGTAATTGTTTAAGTATATTAACCTCATTTAATACATCTGTGAGGGCCAAAACAATATATGGTATCGATAAATTTCCTTTGCAATTTTAAGACTTTATGGATACCCTATATTTTCTATAACATTTCTACCTTCCCAGAGTTTCCTCTGGCATCTTATTAAATCACCATTAATCGCTTTACCCAGCCTGCCCACCCAGCGTTTAATAAATTGATTAGGCAATGCTCTACTGGAAAATTCCGGTCTTTTTGAAATAGTAGCTTCTTACCCGGCAAATCCTGACTTGGCAGAGCCTTGTTCAGGTGGAAATGCAGATAAAAACTTGAATAACTATCAGTAGAGGTTTTGCGAGACTAAATACTTATCCTTCCTCTATGCCTTTGCGCTAGTGGATCCGCATAATGCAAGAATGCTGTAGCAAGAGTAAAGATGATCATATTATGCAATTCAATAGTCTTGCTGCTCGCTAACACAAAATATATTTCTGATTGTTGTAAACTGCCTGTCTGAAGAAGTCTGATTTTGGTCAGACGAAACGTTACAGAAATATATTCGTCTTTGTGTGCAGCCGGACTCTTGAATTGTATCTTAAAAACTTGAATCATCCAAATTTTTTTGTTCACCCCATTTTAGTCTCTTGAAGATAAAATCAAGCGAATAAAGATTGAACGCGAGAATGACACAATATCGTGGGTTTCGAAACATGAATCACTGGAGCGGAACGTAAAGCAACTCAAGCGTGACCTGGATGAGTCTCAACACCAGAGAATGTTGCTAATGGAAACGATAAATAGATACAAGAATGAAGCTCAGGTACGGTTTTTGTGTCGGTCATATTCGAACTCTCAAAGCTTGGAACTCGTAGCAAATTATCTTTCTGGTTTCGGATCTTTTTATTCGCCCCTCACTAGGTTAAAAGGTTAGGGGATCCCCCAAAACAGCGCTCTTACTCCATAGTGACACCTTGTGTCCCATCACTAATTAATTAATAACTCGCTAATTATACGACATAATTCGCCCAAAATCAATAGGCTTCTGGTCCGAAATAAGATGAATGCACATGCAAAATCTGGAGCAGATTAAATCTCGCTTTCGTGAGATATCGCGTGCATCTAACAGACATACATACAGACAGACAAATACCTATCAACATACCGGTACTTACCGATAAAATTGATAAGTAATAATAAGTAAGTAATATTTCTTCAAAAATACAGAAAATGAAATTTTCATAAAATTTTCCTCCCCAGGGGATAAACCCTCCCCCAGATAGAATGAAATAGTTGGGATTCAAATTAACCCACTAACACCAGGTTTACTCATTTCCAAAAATACATGTTCGTCTCTTCATTAGCTGCATTAATATGAAACGCTTTACACAATCAAATACATAACTTTCAAAACGCCAATTATTATTCTGGTCGTGAGTTACGACTGCAATCTTCTGATGTCTAAAACAACATTGGGTTCGCTAAATATCATCGCATTTCAAGAACAGATTTGCTCAAACACCCCGAAACCATTCAGTATCACACAGTTAAACGCTAGCAGTGGGTCTCAACTTTTTTCTTTCCCACTTTTGTTCTACAAAAAAAACTGTTACCCATCAACTTTCCCATGCAAGGAAAAACTAGAAGAAAAAAAACGATAAATTCTTCTCAAAAAGGCAGACGTTTTAACAAAATGAGAACTCCCACTCAGTAACAAAAACAGCATCATCATTCATTGCTACTACAATCAAAGTTTAACTAATTTATCAACGACTTTAGCAATTTTTAATATGTCTGCGGCTTCACCTACAAGTGTTTCTGTGGCCCTGAAGTGGGCCATGGTCCACTGAATAAGAACAGTGCGCTAGACACTTCAAACACAAGAATGAATAATAAGCATGAAGACAGGTAAAAGCAAATAGCAATTATGGGAAAACAATTATGACATCATTATCACAAATCCATGTGAAAAACAAGCTATGACTAAAATACACAACACTGTTCCTTTTAAAATTTGGTATGACCCAAAATAAGTTTTTACGAATCCTAATTCTTAGAAATTCGAGACCACAGCAAATGAAGTGAAACTAGAGTGCAGTAGAGAGACAGCGCAGATCAAATCGCAAGCGGAACGAGAGAGAAAACAATTGAAAACCAGAGTTCGAAGTTTAGAAGATTCAAATCGAAACGGGATTCAGCATTTACATAAGATGCTTGCAGATCAACAGAGAATGACGGCCAAGTGAGTGAAAGTTTCGAAATTTTCAGATGCTCTCGACATTTCAGTAGAGCAGCGATTACCAAACTTTTTGTTTGTGCGTCGCCAAATTATCAGGGAAATAATCCATGGTGCACTTACGCTGTTAATTTTCGGTGTGCACTTAGCGAATCGTGGTGCCCCCTTCAAGAAAAATTTTGATTGCGACTCCTGAATTGAAATTAGGCAGTGACTTTGACAGGTTTGCATTCATATCCGAGATCCTGTTTTATTTGGCACGAAGTTAAAGATAATATTTTTCATTAGAAGGCTATAGGGATGCACGTATTATTTCGAGTTATGGAAGGGAAGTTACGAATTACGTAAAGTCGTAATTATTGGGCGAGCGCTTTCGCGATTGAAACGAGCTCTCTTTAAAGCAGTCAATTTCGTCGATTGTAAAAAATCAAAAGTTTAATAAGTACTTTTGTTCATTTTCAAAAATTTCTGTAAGCTCTCGTTTTTGTGTGTGATGACGTCATCAGAATCAGAAATTGCGCTCCTTGTGCTGGTTCCAAGCACCTCTATAGAAATGGCCATTGTTATCTAACAATATTTAAAAAGCTATTTTATCATTTATAGCTACTTAAAGGAATAACATCTTACCTTTATCATTCAACTCCTCAGATGGAAAGAAGAATATCAGAGCATTTCAGGAAAATATGAATCAAAAATCTCAGAACTTCAGAATCAACTCAGTAGAACAAAGAAAAGATGCACAGAGATGACTAATAAACTACAGGTATGTTCAGGAAGGTTGATAAGACTGCTTGATCATATGACATACCACACCCTTCATCCAATTAGCAGTACTTGTAGAGTATGAAAATAGTTTTTCAGATGCATGGACTTTATGGTGGAGGAAGACTTCACCTACCTGCAGTTATGTGAACCACCCTACTATAGGCAGTCTGGCAATCCTCTCGAACATGATTATCCCCTGCAGGATTCTAAGCTGTGAACTCTCGCGGGCCATTATTGCTTCCTGCTTTGTTTTTTCACTGTCGTTTTTCACCTCGGCACTTCGGTAGTATGTGCACCAAGAATGCGCACAATCTGAACCCTAACCTGGTACACATTGTTCAGGTTCTGTGCCATCTTGGTGCACATACTACGGGAGTGTCGTTTCCTCTGCATCAGTCCTCCCCACTTATAGAAAAAATCTCCAATTATCTTTCTCCAGCAAATGAAAAACCAACACACAGAAATCTCGAGTCAAGTTCCAGATCTGAGTGAAACAAATCGAAAGCTACGAGCTCGGTTACACGAAACAGAATACCGTTTGATATCGGCGACGGAAAGACTTGGCGAAATGCAGGGACGAAAGACTGCGCTGACTTTAAAGGATTTAGAATCGTAGAATTTATTTATGAAATTTTGACTTGCTCTTGACAAGAGCTGGGCATATTACGGCCTGCGGGCCGGATCCGGGTCATCGAAGTGTCTTATCTGGCCCATTTGTGCCCGCTGAAATTACGATTTAAATTTCTGGATATAAATTTTCGTTGAAATTACCTCACAATGTTACATTCTGCTTCCTATTATTATATAAACGTTAGCTTAGCTTTTGGAATAGCTGTTTTTTTTTTCATAGTTTTTCATATAGAGGTTTGAGCAGTAACCAAGTCTATTATCTGTATCTGGAACTCATAAAAGTAATTTTCCACCATCTTGGAATTGGGTATGTTTAGGTAACAGCTGAATGGGTCCCAGTCTCTGAAATCTTACCAAATCTTTTATTTATAAATCTTTTTTTTCAAACAACTCCCAAGTGGCTGGGCCAGAAGGGTAATGCAGAGGTAGAAATGCTGTTTAAAAAAAAACAATAAATTATTTTATCTCCCTGAGTGATTCAAGAGTCTTGCTGTGCACTAACACAAATATATTGCTGTAACGTAGGGCTACTCAACTGGCGGACCGTGGTCCGAATTCGAGTATGCGATTCGGATCGCGCCTAATTCTTTTTCTGGATCATTACCCCCACTTTTGAAGTTTCCTTTTATGAAATTACTATTATAGATTTGAATATATATGAAAAGAACTATAACACCATAATAAACAATCTTGATTAGCTAATAATCATTAGCCGGTGGAAGGATGCCGAAATATAATTTCTGGAAAGACCGGACCCAAATATTTTTGAAGTTTTGTATGCGGATCTTCGGTAAAAATAGTTGAGTAGCCCTGCTGTAACGTTACATCTGACCATGGTCAGACTTCTTCAGACATACATAGTTCAACTATAACAAGAAAAACAGTTGCATGAATCATTGCATCATTTTATTTTGCTGCTATTTGAGAAACATTAGTCACTTAGGACATTTTTATTAAACTCGTTTCATTTTGCTGCTATGTTAAATGCTTCTGATATTTTGTACGTTAAACACTGTTTTTATACCAAAATATATAATATATTCTTTAAAAAATCTGTTGCTATGAGAGTGAAGACATCAAAATTGTCTACAGTAACTCAGAAAAGCCATGGAATGGGCACTCACACGCAGAAGTTTCTTCATTTTTAGAAGTTGGTTTCTGTGAAGCATTGACTGGAGTCAAAATGTGTTCCTATCAACATCATTTTACCGGTTTTGGTTCTGTATTTTAATCCACTCCTCGGGTCTAGACAGTGGAAGTGTGTTAGGTTGGCTGAGGCTTTTTGAATTGTCGAAATCTCAATTTGCAGCAATAACAGCCGCATCAGAAAGGTGTTTCCGACCCAACAGTCCTTAAAACTTGAAGTAAGGTGGAAACCGGACCATGCCCCTCGCTCAAATCAAACTCTGAACCTTTCTAACTAGCCGCCTCAAACTTTTCTTGCCAACCTCCTCACTCGACTCATTTCGTCTCCATAAATCAAAGGTGCGCAACCTGCGGCCGTCCACATACAAAATCCTATAAACAGAAAAAAAAATTTAAAATACAGGATATGGCGGCTATGCTTTGCAAACTTTTATAGAATAAATTCATTAAAATATTTGACATTTTACTATACTTTTGGGGACAAGAAAATGGGCCGCAATATATTTGCTCAAGAATAGGTCCACCGAAAAGAAAAATTCGTTTAAAATGCGAATATTATACTTACTTCATAATTAGGCGGAGTGAACCTCGTCAAATACGCGGTAATGACGTCATGAAAAAACAAGAAAAATTTCTTATCAACCCCCTGGAGTGGAAAGTGGCCGACAATAGGAAAAAGTTTGTGAACCCCTGCCTTAGTCCTTCCAAAATTGTGCTTGATACGACAGAAGTATGCTAACGAGGTTAATGGGTGCGAACGCCGGGTGACACACTGAGTTGACTGCATTTCTGTTCAGTTGTTCATAAGTATAAAGTATAGTTCGTAACGTTTTAGATCGGAATAAGTTGAACAAAAGCAAAGAAACATTTCGAGACATAAAGCAGCGCCGTATTTGCTTGGTAAGACAAATGCCATCAACGCTATTTTAGTTTTTAAAATGGTGATTATTTAACCACCATAATTGGTAGCCCAAATCATTTCATCAAAACGTCATTTAGCCAAACATGAAAAACAGACTTTTGTCCAAATAGCGCCAAGCGGGTTTGACTCAGATATGACGTGTCTCTAAGACACTGATCCGAGCCTTCGGGAAATTCTGATCAACGAAATAAAAAAAACGGGTTTTTGGGGCTGTCATAATTCTGCTTTGAAGGATGTCGTGGGTATTCTTCAAATATGCAGCAGCAGTTCTATAAATGTTGAGTTAAAAAAATTCCCAAAATTAAGTATCGAGTAGCATCGATTGAAAAAGGCAAATTTCGCAGTCGCTATTCTACGCTGTTCTTATATATATAGTCCGCGCAGCTTATCAATCCGTAAAATACCGTCAAAATTTTTTTTATTATTTAATACTGGTGTGACGAATTCGATTCACTCTACTCAGGAATCTGTGGTGATTTATGTCTTGAAATCTAGCAACGCCTAAAACAGCCACGACATTTGACCCTGATGACGTATTCTGTTCGTCCTTTAATAGCGTGTTTTTGGACACGTAATGGACATAACGATCGTTACAATATTATGTTGGTCTTGTTGTTGGACACGTAGTGGACATAACAATCGTTTCAATATTATGTTGTTGTTGTTCTTGTTCTTGTTCTTTGACACGTTTTTAAAAAGTCGCTTTTCTCTTTGATTACTGGACTAATTGCTTTGAAATTTTCAGTGGTTGAAGATGAAATTTTTCTCCAGAAGGCTATTACTTTTATTTATTTCAAATATTTCTGTTAGCTCTGTAAGATTTGTTTTTGTTTGCTATGACGTCACTAAACGTTCTGAGGATATCGGACGCCATTTTGTGTCCAACGGACCATCTTGCAATTTCAATTCACGCTGTCACAAGACAGGACCTTCTAAAGATAGAGAAGTTCTGGTACCGTAACACATCGCGGTGACACTGAACTAACTCGTAGCTGTCAAAAGCTTGAAAATTCATACAAATATGAGAAATAAAAAGATGAAACTTGGCAGGTGGGTAGAGTTGTGTTTCTTTTAACCATATTTGAAAGTTTCGCGTTTCTACATTTGAAGGAGGGGGAATAGGGGGTGTGCATTTCCGATACGTCGATAATATCTTTGTCAACCAATTTGCGGCCACCGTGTTTTCGTCTGTTTGATTGCTGTGATGTGGTGCTTTGTTTATAATTTAACGAGTTTTGTTCGAAATAACCGTGTTCTTGAAATATATGACGGTCAGAAATGCAATTAGAAGCCCAATGTTTTCACGCTGTCACAAGACAGGAACTTCTAAAGCTGTAAAGATAGAGTAGTTCTGGTACCGTAACACAGCGCGGTGACACTGAACTAACTCGTAGCTGTCAAAAGCTTGAAAATCCATACAAATATAAGAGATAAAAAGATGAAACTTGGCAGGTGGGTAGAGTTGTGTTAACCATCTTTGATAGTTACTTCTCTCCCCCGGGATAAATATGTAAATCCTATCCTAATACGCCGATAATATCTTTGTCAACCAATTTGCGACCACCGTGTTTTGTCTGTTTGATTGCTGTATGGCTGCGTATGCGATAGTCGCGACGCAGCAGAAACGATGATCAAGGCTTGAAATCCGTGGTCGCACACTGGTCGTTCGGTCGCAAATACGTCTTTCGAGTGCCGTACTTTGGGGATTTGTATAGCTTTAACCCTTTGTCGTAGAAAGTTAATACGAGGTTTAGCGTGTAGAATAAATGCCGCCAATGCACCCACGGTGAAAAAATTAACGGGAGATATATTGGTTTTTGTTTTATAGCGGTTCGAATGAAATTGTCCGCAGACTGGCTACACCACCCTAGGCCCGGTGAGTTGTCCGTGTAGTCAAATTGTCCATCAGCCCTAAACGGCTATGACAGTCACTGTACCAAAAATTGTACCCCGATTCGGCTGGTGTTAAAATGACGCATGTTATTTAGTAACGTTTTCATGTGAAATGTTTGACTGTGGTTCGGTACCTGATCCGATAATACGGTACATAATTGACTCATATCACGAGATATTTCAACTGATGTTTCAATTGTCACAGGACCTAAAATATCTATGACAGTCCCTGTACCGTCACGGTACCCCGATACAGGTACTGGTAAGTCACCGCCGGTATGTTAGTCGTTGGTCACCGCATATGATTTTTGGGGAATTGTTCTGCGTGTCCATATATTTGAGCATTGCTCTCTTGTTGTTCTTTGACACTTTTTGAACATCTAGTGGAAAATCTAAAAAACCGCTTTTCTCTTTCATTACTGGACCGATTGCTTCGAAATTTTTACTGGTTAAAGATGTAATTTTTCTCCAGAAGGCTATTACTTTTATGTATTTCAAATATTTCTGTTAGCTCTGTGAGATTTGTTTTTGTTTGCTATGACGTCACCGAACGTTCTGCGGACGCATAGCCGACACTCCTCTTCTTTTTGACCACGTGCCATCGAACGTCGATGGTTCGTAACGAAGTCCTTACGGTACTTTGCTACGATTTTTTCCTTACGCTGTCTTACTACGGTACCGGTACTGTACCGTACAGTATTGCAATAATGTTGGTTTTCTTTTCTGCGGGGACGTTACCGTACCGCTTAGCGAAAGTTGGAAGTCCTACTGTACTGCTTCGCTTGGTGTGAATATATTTGTAGACTGTGATCTGACCGTACGGTAAACCGTACTGTACTGCGAACAGACGTGTCCATATATTTGGGCGTAGCTCTCTTGTGATTTGAAAGTCATTTTTTGGTTTGTGCTGCTTTAAGACTCTTAGTCGACGTTTGAGCTAATAAAAGCCCAGTATACGAGTTTGTTTCTTTCTGTATTAGGTTCACCTCAATTTTATTAGCTCAAAACTTAAACTTGAAACGATTAACTGGTTTTCTGAAAGCAATGGCAACTTCCGACGAAAAACTTATTCGGGTGCCAGTGCTTGATGTCTTGCCGAATGAAGTTGGAGCTCTAAAAGTATTTTCCCATTGGAACAGAATGCTTACAAATTACTTAACAGCTGTGGAATTCAACAGATCCACGGAAGGTGTTTCAAGGCAAATCAACGAATGTGCTATCATGGGTTGATATTTATCACCTGACGTGTTTTCCTTTGTGGAAGATGTGTATGATGAAGCTATGGTGATTTTGCGCAAACATTATCATAAAAAGAAGAATATCATATATGCAAGGCACACGCTGGCTACACAGGTTCAGTTGAGCAGTGAAACTATCACCGAATTTTACCAGGCGCTCAGGTCGCTTGCGAAAGATTGTAATTTCAAAGCAGTCAGCGCCAAGCAACACAGAGAGGAGGCGCTGAGAGATGCGCTTTTAACAGGGCTATGTTCCGCTAATATTCGACAAAGATTGCTAGATTATGACGAACTATCACTGGAAAAAGCCATTCAAATTGCTGATTCTTTGCAACGAGCCGAGAAATTTTCGCATTCGTACCAGCAATCACTGCCTCATCAAGCAGCCGTTACTTCAATGGATGATAAATTTTCGGTAAACAAAGAAGACCAATTTTCTGAGTTCAGCTCTAATAGTGACCAACACGTAGCTGCTGCAAGAAGTACTTACGGAACAAAAGTTAACCGTAGAAGGTGTTATTTTTGCAGACGAATTCATGCTTTAACTCTGACTGAAGTGCCCTGCTAGGAACGCAGAGTGTTTTAATTGTGATCTTCGAGGACATTTTGCAAAAGTTTGCCGTAAAGCGAAGAAATCGATTGCTACCGTAAACGATTTGCACCTGACTTCAATTATGGCTGGTATTCATACTTCGTTGTCACGATCGACGATTACTGATAAAATTGCGGAAAACCCTCTGATGGCTCTACTAGACTCCGGCGCTTCACAGAGTTACATAAAGGCATCCGTGGCAACAAGTCTTGGCCTCGCCCTCTACGGTCCAAAAACTGTAATTGCACTTGCTTCGAACGA